CGCCGGGCCGCGCCGGCGTGCGCACCCCGCCCTGGGTGTGCCGGGCATCGGCCTTGGGGGTTTTTTGCGTGCTTCCCCGCTTCCTCCCTCCACGATAGGTGCTGTTTTCGTGGCAAGACAGAAGGCGAAACAACAGAAATGACAATTTTGAAGCATTTTAAGTGAAAGGCCGGTGCTCCGGCCGCGGTAAGAACTAGGGCAGCTCTGCTGTGTGGGAGTGTGGGGTATTTCATATTGCTTGTTGGGTATTTTGTATTCTGTACTGCTTCAGAGAACATTATCGCCAGCGTTTTATGTCTCACTACTCTCTTTATCCGTGTGCATCCAGTTTATGGCTGTTGCTGCACTCTGAACAACACATTTTTTAAAAAAAGCGAATGGAAAAATTGAAAATTATAACTTCTCACTGTCGTGTCTGGTAGGAATGCACTTGGAGAACTGCTGTAGGGTTTGGACAGCCTTGCTGCCAGCACTGCGAGCAGAGGAGAGGGCTCGCCCAACATCCGCACATCACTCCCGGGGCTGCACAGGAGGCCATCAGGCAAGTGGTTAATTTCTCTCTTTGGGCACCGTGTTAAAACTCTCAGTGCTTTCGGTTAGCTTTCTCCTTGGTTTGCATGGGATTTGTCAGGGCTTACCAGATTTAAAGATGAGGTCACGCGTGCGTATGTGTTTGTCTTTATGAATGCCACGAGCACACTGGGTGCTTTAAAACCCCTTGGATGGAAAAGTCTGTGAAAGCACAGAGTATTCTACTGATGCTGTTTGTTTTGTGTTTATTGGGAGACTCCCTCAGGTAAAACATGTTAATCATAATATTTTGTAAATGAAAAAAATCTACTGAAACAGAGAATCCCCAGCAACAACGAACAAGATGATCATCAGCTTGTCCTGTGCTTCCTTGTTTGCTCCTGCCGGCTACCGAGGTGCTCTGTACAATGGTATTTGTCCCTGGCAGGGAGTAATTTCGACGGCTTTGCCCATGTTGCCTGAAGAACTGCTTTGTTGCTTGGAGCGGGAGGCCTTTAGTGGGTTTGTGTGGGCGGTGCCAAGGATGCAGTACCGCTGGCATCAGGGCTGGGGAGGAGAGTTTTTGTTTACTCACTGGCTTGATACCCTGGCGATCCACAACAGTGAGAAAGCAAACACTGAAAAGCGCCATAACAGAGCAGGTTTTACTGTTCAGTTTCTTCTCCAACTTGAAGTCAGCTAGTAGCCTAGGCAGTATTAAATTTTGTATACAAGTAATTTGTTGCCCCCTGAAACCTCATACATTAAGTATATATCCTCCCTTTTTTTGAGATTACAGTATAGCAAGCTGATGCAGAAAATCAGCTTATGTTGGACATAATTTAGGTTTATATTGAATGGGGCAAAAGCTGATACTGTCAAGTTATTTTCTCCAGGACCTCCTTATCAGTGTCTAGGCTGGACCATCTTTTCCTTGCTGCTGATGTCAAGGAGTTTTCTTCATAAAATCAAGCTCTTCCCAGTTCCCTAACTGCTCTGCAGTGGGCGTGGTGCCCATTGGGAAGTCTGTTTTGGAGAGAACTTCAGCAAGTGTTGCTTTTGTCCAGAGCCCATCACTGATAGTCTTCAAACTAAAGTTGTTTCCCTTGTGCTTTGGGCAGAGCACACCTGGAATGTGGAGACTACGCCTTGTGCACGCAGTGGAAGCAGTGGGACCAGCCACGGGTAGCCTTTGTGTGGCTCCTCCTTATTACTGAGGGTGACCTTCCTGCTGGCATTTAAACCATGTACCCTGTGAGTATCTTAGTGATTTTTGTGTGTGTGTGTTTGTTTCCCAGGTCTTTAAAAGAAAAGTCAAACTGAAAAAAACAGACTTTCATTCAGTGTTATACTTACACCCACATAAATCGCTGGCAGGCTGGAACTTTTAGCTCCCTTTGGGGTGGATCTAAGGTGGGAACATGTAGTAGAATCAAGTTACAATTTCCTGTGCAGTAGCAAGGAACAGTAAAGACTCCAATGTCTAGTCCACTAGGAGGTTTCCGAGTCTTCTATTGAGAGCAGAAGAGTGGGGAGACCCAGGAATTTGGAAATGCATCTTAGGGGTTAGCAGGAATTACAGTGGAGGGTCATGGGCTCTACTCTTTTCTCTAGCTCTGGCTTAGCCCATCCTTTCTAATCCTTCCTTCTCCTGGTCCTCTCTCTTCATCACACATGGTTCCTTTTTTTCACTCCTATTGAAGATACATTCAGCAGGGTTCTCGTTTTAATGTACATGTCCCACCCAGAGGGCCCGGGTTTCAACTGTTTTAGATTTGTATATTCCTGAAAGTTTCCCGGTGGAAGTGTAGATTACTCTAAAGGGAGTTTAAACTTGCAAACAGCATCATGTTGCCTAGCTGCACATGTTGGACCTGTCAAAGTAATCATCAAACCTGGCAGGCTGTGTATACGTCTTAAACAAGCCATTTACAGTGAAGTCAGAAGAAGGTATCGAATCATTTTCTTGCAAACAAAGTTCCTAGAAAGTCCACATTTCTCCAGGAGTGCAAATAAACTACCTTTGAATCCTCCTATGGCAGACAGGATGGGGGAGCTCAGTAGCATCAGCTGCTGAAATAAAAAACCTTCCCTCAAAAACTTTTAGGTAAGTAGAAAATGACTGGCCACTCTCTGAGATGGAATGGAGCTAAGTGACTAAACAGGGAAAACAGGATGTTTGTCTGTCGTTCCACAGGTGACTTGTCATACTGGTCTCAGAGAGGATGGATACAAGCTGTGACAGTGTTATTTCATCTTTTTGAAGTAAGCTTTCTTCTGAGCTATGAAATAACAGGTGATTTTCTTGTGATGACTTTTTTTTTCACATTCCATTTGTATGCCCCTGTTTTCTCGTGTTATCTTTGGCCAGTAAGGTACTTTCTGTGGTCTGAAAGGTTGATGATTTAGCTGAAAGGCAAGGTCAGGCCACTTTGGTAAATGCTTTTACTGCTGAATGGGTCTCGTTTTTTCTTGTTGTAGAGTCTTGTATCTGTTCCTGTTTGTCTGAGACTAGAATTTAGAAAGCAGGCAGTATAGCTAAACCATTTTAGCTGGTAGAAATACTGTGTTCTTATAGCTTTTTGAAGTGTTTTTTTCCTAACTGCATTTTATATGTATATTTGTATATATTTTACAGTTTCTGAAGTCAGAAGACTCTGCTTTCAGCCTGGGCTAAAAAAAATATATTGGATTAAAAAGATAATAATAATAATGAAGGCAAACACAAGGATTTACCATGTCAGTATGACACATCTGTTCACAGTGGTTTATACTGCACACCCCTAATATGGATTTTGGAAAGCAGAGTATGGAAGCAGCTGCTTTTAAGGAGGAGGACCATCTGTCAGAGAAGACTGCCAATGATCTGACAAGTGTAGTGCCATCTCCCACCAGAATAACTGAGAAGGTCATGCCTTCTTTACCCCCAGGATGGATTCACAACACAAGTCAGTCCTCCAGCACGCAGTTTCCACTTTCATACAGCGCAGAAGCCAGCCGTAAGATGGACAACAGTAGTGACTGCTCAGATAACTTGGGCAATGACCAAGAGTTTCCTGCAAGGCAATTATATTACTTGGCCAGCTCGGATTTTTTTCCTCAAATGTTGGCTTCAAGTGTAACCCAGACTGGTGTTCTTGAGGCCAGTAAAACCAGTGACACCCTGGAAACATTCAGTCGTTGTCTGCTCGCTGCCTCAGATCCTCAGGTGAGACCAGCATCCACAACATACAAAAGCATAGACCAGGTTAGCTTGCAATGAATAATCAGTGAATGTATCTATAATTGCATATTAACCTCTCTGGAGTTCTTATCATTGCATAGCCTCTTCAGGAGAAGTAGGCTGGTGTCTACGAGTAGGAAGCTTTCTTGGCAAACACTGGGAAGTGCGATATAATCCTTCATCTGATTTTTCTTCGTCTTTTTTCATCTTTTTTTCCTTTTCTGACTTTTTTCTCTTATTGTTAGTTTTGACAAAGAGATGGACAGGAGTAACTCAGCAATATCTCCTCGACTGAGTGCCCCTTGTGCTTCTTACCAGCTATAGTAAACAATGCATTGTTTTAATTGCACTTTTTAAGGAAACTCTTATATTTCCAATATAGTTTAATTTATTGTTTAGGATATCTCCATGCTGGGACTTTTCAACCCTTTCTGCACTGTAAGTCTACCATCACTGTAAGCTTTTTTGAAGATAAGAAAATTGGAAGTATTTGTACTACCAAGGCTGTCATGCCTCTTGTCCTGAGCCCATTCTTCCATGGGGCTTCTTTTGTTGTTATTATTTGTGACACAGCTACACATTAGACAAGAGTTGGGAAAGCTTTGTTCTTCAGTCGTATGTCAGGAGATTTGTGGTTGGACTGTGTCAGTGCAGTGGCTTCTCGGCAATCTAAATTCCCAGTGGCTGAGGACTGCTGAGCGTGGTGTTATGAGGCTGCCCTGGGATCCAGTTCCTACTGCTATTCTCAAGGGGATGTTGATGAGCCAGTCAGGAGACCTCACCTCTTCAGCTCTCAGTCTAAAGAAGTTTGCTTATAGGGGCAGGAAGCTTGTTATTGCCTGGTTGTTGGAAAAGTGTCATGCAGACAAGGCTGAAGCTGAAGAGGAGTTCTTGTGAGTGGCTGGAGTTTGCTGCTTCTTTCTGGATGACATAAAATGGATCTTAGTGTTTAATGACCAGAATGTCTCCTGTGATATCCTAAACTGTCACCAGCTCATCATAAAACCTGATACTGGGTCATGGCCATTCTTTGCTCTCCTTTAGCTCCTGGCATTTGACTATGTGAAATACTTGAAATGCTCTCAAAGAGTCCAGTAATGGAAAAGTGAGTTTGGGGATTGCTCAAGTACTACCAGATAGAGGAGCAGTAGAATGAGAATGGTGCTTCCAGAGAGACTCTTGGGAGATCCCAAGGCACATGTAATAACATGAGGATGTTGTTACATTGCGAGTTGTCGTTCTGTAAATGAGCTGGCACTTCACAATGTGAAAAAAAGCAGGAGTTTTATCCGGAAGAGCTTGAAGTCTAAGTAAAAGCAAAGCAGAAGGAGGATAAATGGAATGGTAACCCAGGCAAAGAAGGATAGGAGAAAGAAAGCGCTGCCTGCTTGGTTCTGGAGGCTTGTGATTTTCCCTCCTGATTTGCAACTGGCTCTTGCATTGCTAGTCTCTGGGAATACTTCACGGTGGAGAGTGCAGAACAAGCAGAGTGGTGGAGGAAGAGTCAAATAAATGTCCACTGGGAAACTCTGAAGGCCAAGGCTGATGGTATTGAAGCATAGCTACAGAGAGGCGAGAGGAAGCCTCTGGCCTGAAGGAGGAATGGGGAACTAGCGGCAGCAATTTAGCTGGGGGTAGAATCAGTCCTTTCTCTGCGTCAGCAAGGATTTCTGTGGAGGCCAAGGCTAGGTTAGTTCTTCTGTCCTTTTGTATGTAGAGAAGAGTAGCGCAGAAGATGTGGTCTTGGACTTCTACTGTCTATTCCTTTTCTCTCCTCTCCTGCAGCCTCCACAAAAAATGTCCAGGGACCAGCAGGGGAAGTCTTTGTGGTCCAGAGAGAGCATCCAGCATGGCTGTTACTTAGTTTTAACCCAGCAGCATATGAGGGCTGCAAGTGAAAATCTGTGTTTAATCATGCCGGGCATATGTATTCTCAGCATATAAATGCTGAGAAAGAGACTATCCCTCCTCAGAGAGTGATCACTCTAAGTAAACAGAGCACTAAAGGATGGGAATTGAGGAATGAAGTGTCTGATAAAAGTTAGATAGCAGTGTAGTGAACAGGGGCCGTTATAAAACCCAGGTGTCCTAGATTTCAGATTGTGTTCTTGCTGCGTCTCTGTTCACTGAATATTGCCCCTTTGGTGATGGTTCCTCTCATAGACCTGGTGCGGGGGAAGTTCTTGATCGTGGTGCTTCCTACTCTGGGCCAGTCTTGTGAACGAAGCCCTGGTATTTTACCTGGCGAAGCTGGTCTGGTTCTTTCTTTACTGAAATGGATTGGCGTACTCCCGTAACCAATTTTACCAGCAGAGGATGACTTTTGTAGGAGAAAAAGGGTATGCATATATGAGTAAGCGGGGAAAAGGGTAGAAGTGGTAAGATCCTCCAACAGCAAAGCTGCCACCGGAAAAAGCTGTCTGTCCTGGTTTTGGTGCAGTGTTGTATTCAGTGGGCCATGCTGCTGCTTTCAAGGCACTGACTATGCCATTTTCATGCAAGTTGAGCACTGCAATTGCCATTGGCATTTTTAGTGAATTGTGTGCACCCAGCACCTCTGCAAATCAGGCCTGAATTACAAACATAGCATTTCACAGACCTCTCAATTAACCAAAGTACTGTGGGATGTGGTATATTTCTAATGGACCCAGTGGAAAATTTGAAGTGTGTGAAATTTCAACACTTGCATTGCTTTTTAAATAGCTTTTGCCATTTTGACCAGTTTATGGACTTGTCTTTTTTCTCAAAATTACCTTGAAAATTGTAGAAAATTGTATTTTGCAGTAACCACTTATTATTTCTATGTCTGCCCAACCATTTGTATTTCTGAAAAAGGAAATAATAAAATAAAAATGCCATCAGACAAGGAAGACTAGGAAATGAAAATAGGGGAGGATGCTGTCAAAACCAAAAGTTTTTTCTTTCCTGGGACATAAGTTATTGCAACAGAGAGAATCTTAAAGCTGATTTTCATCAATAGTACTGTTAATTTACATTTAGCAGACAGTTCAACAAACAATGACCACAGCACATTTTGAAATTTTGTAGCTAGATCAAAACCGAGGGGATGTCTGCTTTGATTGTGTTCTGACACCTTACGGTATGAAACGTGGATGCACACTGCTCTCCTGTTTGTGCTTTGGCTTTTGTGGGAAGGAAGTCCCAGCACAGAGACCAGAAGAAAACACTGGCTGGTGTCAGGAAAATGCTGGCTGATGCCAGGCAGAGTAGCAGAATCTGGTAAAACACATACTGTCTGCACTATGTCAATGTAGCCTTTGGGTAGTAAATTGGGAAAGGAATTTTTAAATACAGATGACTACCTTATTCATGAGTAGTAATACATACCATAAGAAATACCTAAACCCAAAGTCCTGGTATGGCAATTCCTTCTTGTTAAGCAGCATGCCAAAACAGAGTTTGATACTACATCTCTGTGCTATTTTCAGAGTCCAGGGCAGCAGGACCAAGTGATGAGGCAACAGATGGAGCAGCTACAAAGGCTAGTGGCTGAACAGCAGAAAATCATTGCATTTTGCAACCCAGGTACTCCGGAAATTTCTCCTGAGGCTGCAGCAGTCCCCCTTGCCCCAGCTGCTTGCACTCCAGCAGCAAGAAGTTGCAGTTCCCTAAAGAAACACAAAGTTTGATGGTGGTTTGAAGTGCCTGAAATGCTAAAATATTTATTTCTGCACACATACTTGCACAAACTGTAAACCTCAGAAAAGATTTATTTCCACTTGTGTACATTAAATTTACGGGCAGAATATGAGGAGAAGTCTTTTATGTTTAATAAGCCACCTCTGTGTAAAAATATCTGTTGAAGCATAGATTTAAATGGTACTGCAGAAAGCTTTAGTATAGTGGTGAATATTACAGAAAAGTTGGAGAGGAAGAAAAAGTCAACAAGTCATGCTTCTGTTAACAGGCTCTTAACATGAATAATACAGCCTGCTCCTCCCAGCATGATAGAACTTGTTGAACAGCTTCGTCTTTACGTGTGGCATTGCCAGAAAATGACATCTGCTCAGCAAGTAGCAAAGGAGGAGACCACCTGTCTTCAGCAGCAGCATATTTTCCTTGGGATGTGACTCCATGGAGAAGAGGACTTTAGGGAGATCATCTGGAGTTGCCAGAGGATTATGTACGGCTTTAGCAGGGGTGCTGTGCATAACAATAGGCAGGGAACATGGGCTAGGGCACAGGAAGGCCAGATCATCTGTAGCTTGCTGCTATCCTCAGATATCCTACCAGAGGAGGCAGCTTTACCTAATGGGCAGGACATGATAGGAGCCTGATGAGCCTAGGGCATGCCCTGTGGGCGTCTGTGTATTTACCTGGCTTCAGTTTTATCTGTCTAATTTTGAGCTTCTCAGGGTCCCAGTCAAGGTCCTGCAAGGATCTCCTCCTACTAAGATCCCTTAGGATATTTAGGAGGACTAGGTTGTGCCATCTTGCTTGCTCGTTTAGTGTAGGCTGGTGGGCTCTCAGAGTCAGCTTTTTGGAACTGGAAAGGTGATATTTTTTTCAGTACCTCCCTCCCATGTCCTCAGTGCATGAAGTGTGAGGAAGCTCCATCTGTGAACCATGTCTTTCACTATCGCTCTATGCGCATATAAAAATACTTTATAACGCACAACTGACTAATTTGGAAAGAACTGTTTAAAATCAGAGCTGAACGTCAGTTCACTGTATGGGGAATGTCTGCTTGCCAAGGTCCGTTTCAAGCAATAGACCTTACCTTAGGCAGAGGTAATGAAGCTAATAAACAATTCTGAGAATTTATTTGACCTCTGTGTGTATCGTTACCCATGTTTTAGAGGTGCTTGCTTTTTTTTCTCTGAAGTCTCTGGAAGTTTTCCAGTTGGCTTTAGTGAAGCAAGGCTTTATACTGTCGTTCTCATAAAAATAAATGGAAGTTACAGTAAGTCTTCTCTACCTTGATAATGCATGCAATACAATTATTGGCCAAGGAAATAAAAGGGTTTAGAAAAGCGGAATTAAACAACAGTGGTCAGTGCAGCAAAGATGGAAGAAAAGGAAAAATAGTTTCCTTTCATACCTGTTTATATGCATGCATATAGAGAGCTGTATAAATTCATCAGCCTATCTCTGCTGACTTCAAGTATCAGTATGTTTTAAGAAAATGAAAGGTCTAGGGCTTTGCTTCATTCCCTTTCAGCTGCCTGGGGTTAGAGAATTTCCTCTAGGAGTGCTGAAAAGTTGGGCTGGAAAAACAATTGCAGCCAAATTCTTTGCACTATTAAGACAACTGCAAGAGATAGTGATATCAAATATTTTAACAGCAACATGTAAAGGTGTATAGGCGTCTGACCTCTGGATCATGTATCTTGTGCCTTGCCTTATGCCTGGCACAGCAGGTGCATGGCATCATGCCTGATGATGCACAAGGTGATCTCTCCTTCAAACTCGATGCCGTGGCATTTGATCAGATTTCTAGGTTGGAGGGTAAGCAGGATGTCAACTGCCAACCCTGCTGCCAGAGCCAAGCCCCACCAGGGACGATTCCAGTAGATCTGGCTGTGATTGTGCTGATTTGCCAGGTGGGGTAGATCGCTGTGAAGTAGCTATCAAGAGCCAGTGGTGTAAGGAATACTATGGAGACAGCTTGAGGAAGAGGCAGTATGATGAGTGTGAAAGGATATATTAAATCTTTATCATTCCATGGCTTTTGCGTCAGAGAAAAGACCAGCTGGAACGGCATGCAAATGTTGAGCAAGCTCAACATCTGCAATGACCAGGTTGAGCAAGAACACAGTATGTGTCTTCCAAACTTTCAAATGAAAGTGGAAAGTCCACAGAGCGATTATATTGCCCATTAATCCCAGCCTACATTCTGCTACTGGAGCGATGCTTGTAGTTATTTCCACTGGTTCACTGTGAGCAGAATAGTTAGACTGCACTATTTTCCACAGGGTCTTAAGGAAGGACTGAACTATGTGAGAAGGAAGAGGCCCTGGGTCATGCTGTGTGCCATCATACAAAGTGTTGTTGCCCCTGCCCCAGTACCGTAAATCACTTCTGCATTTCTGGAGGAAGTACAGTCAGTATCATGAACTCAAAACCAAACTCATCTGGAAGTACATTTATAGGATGCTGTTTAGGTTTGTCTTTTTATGTATCTAGATATTTCTAAGGCGCATATAAAGCCACAGCCAAAGTGGTAACTTAAAGATGAAAACCTGACCATAGCCTGCACTGAAAGTTCTCCTTTATTAGTGAAGGACGTATAGGTGGAGGGTACCAGTACAATTGTGTAATCTGGTCCCACTGAGCTTTGAAGAGGTAAAATCTGAAGAACTAATAGGATTAGGATTCATCTTACTGTGGTGGAGGTAGTTGCTTGAATATCACCACGCATTTAAAGACAACACTGAGAGTAATTTTATGAGCAATTATTATTGAACATCAGGTAACATGTAAAGGTGCCAGAAATCAACCGTCTCCACTTTTGCTAATGTTCCTGCAGGGACATCTAACTTGCTTGCACTACATTAATTCCCTTCAGTAAAATCATGGCTTTGCCCACCTACCTGAGAGGTTAGAGCGTTTGTCCAGAAATTAAGAGCCTTTTTTTTTCCCGATCCTCTTCTCGTATCAGCCTGACAGAGTTGAATCCACAGATCAACCTTCTTCCAAAAAGTTCCCTAACTGGGGGCTAGAAGGTATTTCCATCACAGGCACTCTCTGTTCCTCCTGTTGAAGTTGGGTCACTCACTGTATGTGAAGCAATCGTGGGTCAGAAGAAAGAAAATCAGAAGGAGTGATCCTGCTTTGTAACCTCTTAGAGGAGATACTTTCCTGGAAGCAGTGAGACCTGGGCTCTGGTGCTCTTGCAGAGCTGCTTATGTCTTTTCTACTGGGAATCTTCTAAAAAGATATGTAAGAAGCCATGCAGAGCTCAAAAGAAAACATTCATTTTTCTTGCAATGAGGGGTGCCTCAGAAACGCTTTGCAAGATTTAGCTTTTACATGCTAAGAGACTATAGAAGAGGGGAAAGGTATGTTGTTTTAACTGCGCTTTGTAAGATTTTTTTAAGTCAGTATCCTTGTGGCATTCAATAATTTTGATTATGTCTCCTGGTTATGGTAGCCCCATTTTATAATTTCAATAAAATAACGAGCAAAATTTGATCCTTCACGCTGAATATACAAAACAGCAGGGCACATGGAAGCAACAGTGTCTTTATGCAATACCAGTATAGCAAGAGATTTCCAGTTCAGCAGAAAATAGCTGTCCTATGCTTATCTAATTGTTCTTCTCTGGTAACTTTCTGGCTTTTCAGTTTCTCCTGGGATACCTGCTCATCTAGTTGCCAAGATGGCAACTCTGCCGTGCTTTCCTGCTACTTTAATCCCTGTCCAACTCCCATCAGAAGATTCTTCACCAGACCAGAGCCAAGACTGCTCACAGACTCGTCCCTTGATAACGCGCTCTACTCTGCAAAGAAGATCCCCACTGTTGGTGCCAAATGAGAGCAGTTCAGAAATCTCAGGAGAGCACCCGCAACTTTCAGATTCAGGTGGGTAAAAATCACTGGACATCTGGGTCTAAGGATACTGTGCAAGTCCTGTGACGTTTCCCTGTGCTAAGATTGTCCCTGATTTTATTGCAGGGCAAGAGGGAATTGTGTGGGGTGGGTTTTTTTTTTTTTTGATAGCTTGTCATAAAAGATTTTCAAGAGCCTCGTAGATATAAATGGAGCAGAAAGTCATTAAGATGGGAAAGCTAAGTCATATGAAGTAGGGAATATATTGCCTTTAGGGGAAAAAGCTAAAAAGTAGAAAATGAATCTAGCCTCCAAAAGTGAGAGAATGTGTCTATTTTGGGGAGGAGGTCAGTTCTTTATCAGCAGTCTCAATGTTTCTCACTTTAACCTGTAATCTGTTTGGAGAAAAAAAGATGTAAGCCACCACTTGGCTTCCTCTCTTTGTTATGATTGGCTGGCCTTGTTTTCTCTGAGAAGATACCAAAGGGTGAGAAAGACAAAAGAGTAATTTGTGAGCGATCAGAAGTTTAAAAATGGGAGGGAAAAGAAACAGAAAGAAGAACTAAAGGGGAAGTGGATGTAAATAAGACCTTCATGCCAGATTGTTTTGAGCTTGTACAGCAAGATCTGCCTATAATGCAAAGATATAATCTTACAGAAGAACTGAGATTTCAGTGTCATATTCTTCAAACTGGCTCATACCAGGGCTCTCACTGAAAGAAGCAGTCTTGTCTCCTTCCTTTGTCCAGGACTATGTTTTTTTTGCTGGGTTAGTCTGAGCCTGGATGAGTTCCCTAATGCAGTTCTTCAGAGAACTGTAGCAATACTTCTGCTAGCACGGGTGGAGGAGGGCAACAGGAGCCTGATGGCATGTATAACACTTCACATTCCTGTTTGAAGGGAGAAACACAGAGCCATTGCTTCAGCGTGCTGGGAGCCCCACAAAAAAGCTTTCCAGAGAAGATGCTCAAGAGGAGGACATAACAGAAAACAAAGGTGAATAATAGAACTGCTGGGACCCATTTGTTGTTGCCCTGTACTGGGAACAACCAGTTGCTGTGTGAAAAAGAAGAAATGTCTGTTAGAGAGTTGTCAAGAACATTTTCTTGCTCAGCTGTGTTTTTTGTTCACCATTTTCTTTTTAATTTGAAAACTGCAGTGCTGAGGCAGCTTTCCTATTAGGGTATTCCCATTGCTACTTTTCTCATGGAGAGATGGGTAGGCCATCTGAAACACTGGCAACGGCATAGCCACACATGAGGCTGGAAGTGCCTAGGGACATGTGAGTTGTGTGTCCCTTTCTACCGTGTACCTACTGTGTCATCTCTGGCTCTTGAGTCATATTCTGGTCTGAGACAGGTGAGAGGGTTGCAGAAGCAGGATTACTTGTCCACCATGAGACTGGAGATTTTTGGAAACTTGTATGTTACCAGTGCTGGTGCTTTCTGGGAAATCGTTTGCATTATGTTTCTCAAGATAAAGGAGAAATAGTTGTTAACTGCCAAGTTCCCTCAGCCAGGTGGAGCCATGAGACCTGATGAGGACATTGCAAGCTTCTGTGGGAGGTGTAGACCAGAAAATGCTTTCAGTATCCTGCAGAGGACTTCAGTAGCACTGGATGCCTTAATTTCATGAAGTGAGCTGTGTGGCTTGTGGCTACACCAACAGCATGTAGCATGAATGAGCCCACAAAGGTGTTCTGCTCCAGCAGAGAGTCCTAACTTGAGCTAAAAGACCAAGTCTCCATTAACTCACATTTGGAAAAAAAACAAATGAGGGTGGGAGCCTTCTTGTCCTAGTGAACGTAGCCCGTAAACTTCAGTGGGAAGTTTCACAGTGTGCACGCTTTGGTGAAATAGAATTGAATGTGCCTAGTTACAAAATCTGCTGCTTACAGCTACTCTTCTCTGTTTTAACAAACTGGCTTGCAGTCCTATAATCACAAACATATGAGCAATTCAGTACTGTGTAGCAAAGTGAAGAGAAATGTTCTGCAGTGAAACATTAAGCATGCATTGGAATTCTTTAAGGCTGAGGAGTAGAAATCATACCATTTCCCCTTTCCTTCTTCCCAGCTGTCAGAGTTGAGGATTAGGAGGCATGCTTTTTTCATGAGCTGCATCATTCCTCCTAGTTAATTCTGAAGTATTCTAGGAAATATTTTCAAAAACCTAAAATTTTCATATTATTGAGAATATTACTATATTTCTATATTATTTTATTATGTTTATTTTTCATTTATTTATTTATATAAAGGGTTTGCTTTCGTTGACCTTTTTCTTACTGTTTAGATATTAGTCAATTAGAAGAAAGAACTTTGCCTAAAACTACTTCTGCAATCAAAGAAGAACGAAGAGAACAAGTTAATGAGGAGATTGTTCCATCTCCCTTTGGTATAAAGACGACATTGAAGACTAGAAGCCCAGAAGAGAGGTGAGAAATGGGTTTAGTCAGTTGGGCGTAGATACAAAAGCATGTTTTGCTTGTATACATACTGTACGTGAAAAAAAAATCTTTCCCTTGCTTAAGAGTGGCAAGTATGAATGGGCAGAGGTCTAAGCACAGGTCCAGGAACTGGCAGTTGATCTAATTCTACGTTTTCTGCATTTGCTGGTTTTTATTTTGGTGTGTATTTTGTTAGAAGATAATATATTAAACTTTGATGATAACAGCCCAAGACCATCGGAACTAGCCTTGGCTTTTCTTTCCAACAGGATTGCCAAAGCAATGTGTGTGACTGTCAAACAGAGGTTTTTCCTTTAAGACTGTAACAGTAATGTGAACCAGAATACCGGAGATTAGGACTTAATATTTGTATTTCAAGGACTGGAATTCAAGGACTCTTTATCTTGTTCTGTTCTGATGATATAAAATGAAAAGTGTTTAAGCACCCTGGTATTCACACTAAAAAAGTGAATGATTTTCCTACTAACATCCATCATTGGGTGAGAAATGCATTTTACCACAACAGGAAGCACTTTTTTATAATCACCTCTCTTTGTATAGCTTTGCTTTTAAGTTTATAAGCAGATCAGCCTTGTGAAACTCCTTGTATGCCAGAATACTTCCCATCCAGTCATAGGTAATGTTTTCCCACAAATAATTTTTACAAGCCCCATGTATTAAAATATTATAGCTTCTTATACACTCAAGAGAACTACAAAATAAAAAATGGAAGTTCTATTTCTTTGGCTTAGCATTCAAAAATTAAAACTCTTTTTAAGGAGTAGCAGTTGTGCAGCTCTGATGTTCAAAGGATGTAAGCAAGGCAAAAGTTGCCAGGGAGAGACAATATCTTTTGTTATGCCATCATTTCTTCTACAGTGGCACTGCAGTCTGCAGTGGCCATCACTTCATGATGTTAGTGTTCGTCTGAGTAGCTCGTTTACTCTTGTCCTTGTCCTGACTTTTCAGCTGTGCCAAGACTAATCTTTATGTATGATGAACATCCAGGTTAAAGTTTTCTGGAGAGGGGAGAAATGTAATTTTTAGCTTCAATCAGCCCTCTGATCCGGTTCATCACTCCATTACAAAATGAGTTGTACCAAGACACAAACATAACTCGTGGCTAGGCAGAAACTGGTTAGGCCAGCATTAGTGATGGAAGAAATGCTCATAAAATTGTTACCTTTGCTCAGCCAATGCAGATAGAAGCAGTAGCTTTTGGGAACACTTAGCCCACCTTCAAGTTTTAAACAGAAGCAGCAAACTTTTAGCCAAAACAGGCTGAAAGTAATAGTGTGCCTTGGTGCAGCACTTCTGCTGTGCTGCAATTACACAATTACTGTGCTGTGGTGCAGTCTTAGCACAAACTGAATTCCCTCTGGATGAAAATAAAGCAGAGAATGTGCTCCAACTCTTTATAGACATTTTCCCCATGTGATGAGGCTGCAGCTATTTGGCAGTGTCCCTGCCTGAAAAGTGTATTGGATCCTCAGCAACAGCTGCTGCTCTGCAAATGATCTTTGGTACAGTGATATTAGGTGGCTGTGTGGTATAATAAAAACTGTAATGTGGTGTATAATGAGTATGTCTGTTATGTGCAGGATTTTTTCAAGTTCAGTAGAAAGTTTTAGAAAGTGTCCGAATTAAACCTCTGAGTACATTTCCAAATAAATAAGGTATGTTCATGTATGCTGTATTATGCTGTATTTTGAGTCAGACTTCAATTTATCCCTCCAGAAAATTGTGGATATCACTTTTCTCTTCTGTCACTCTTTTCACAAGTTTGTTCAAAACTCTCTAACAGAGTTAGAGTTACGGAGTTCTTTGTGACTGTAACTAGATCTAGTCAGAGGAAATGCCTGAAATATTTGTCCTTTTGGATAGTTTCTATTTTCCCCTTTTAAGAAGAGGCTGATACTAGCCTAAAAACATGATCTACTAAAAGTGTAATTTATGTTCAGTATAAATGGGATATTTTAAAGTGAGAATTTGGTGCCAGGTAAGACTGGTATTATTGCTAAGATACTTCACGTTAAAAAAAAAAGGGGGAGACATAACTTTGGAATTCTAAACTCAGTGTCAGCTCCATCAGAATTGCCAAAAGAAAACTAGCCGGAGAACTTTACAATTTAGTATCTTCTTGCTTAGGCCAATCACACCAGGAGTTGGAGTAAGACAGAAGACTTCTGAAGAAATTGTTGAAGAACAACTCAAAGTAGACACGCATCTCATAGAAAAACAGCAGCAGGAGCAACAGGTGCTGTCCGATTAGTGCCTTCACTTTGTTTTTGACAAGTTCTCATGGACTTGGGTGTTGTGTGGGCCATGTTCTGACTCATTGCATGACAGCAAATTTTTCCGCTGATCTCTCATGTAATATTAGATTATTTTCCTCAAAATAAAAAAAATCTATTCAGAAATGCCCCCATCCTTACATTATTGGCATGTGAGGTACTGCATGGATTGTTTAGTATTCAGTCACAGACAGTCACAGTTCCCACTCTTTCCTATTGGATTTTTCTCTTTTCCACATATTTTCTGGGCCGTAGTCACTTAGCTAAATTAGACCTCAAGGTTGATTCTGTTCATTTCTTATCACTGCTCCTCTTTGAATTGTCAGTCATTCTTTAGTACTCTTCTACTTTTTGCCTTTGCCAAGGTCTAAATCAAGTCAAGCCTTTACACACACTTGAAGCATGTAAGTGATCTCACTGATTCATACTAGATTTCTAACAAACAGGATTAAAACCAGGACTGGCTCTACGCAGTCAAATTGGCATTTGCTGCTGGCATAGATGCCGGTGGTGCCTGATGGCAAAACAGCCAGGGCTCCACTGCCTGTTTTGCCTCTGAGAGCTCTGAAGAAGCAGCATGGCAGCTGCTGCTATCTGGGTGGTGAGCCTGGGGCAATGGTGGCAGTGATTGGTGCAGGAGGAGGGAGAAATGCGCAGGCAAACACATGCACACACAGACACCAGCAGCAGGAGATGTCACATCACCCATCCCGCCCCCCCGGGCGGAAGGAGGAGCACCTTTGCTGCAGGTTCCCTGTCCCTTTCTCTTCCCCTCGCTGGAGCAGTCCAGTTCTAGCCATACCCTCCCTCTTCATCTGTTAAGAAGCAAAACTCATTTTTTTTGCTGAGAAACCCTGAGCCAGCTCTGCTTAGAGATTAATATGAGTTTATGTGCAGGGCTGAGTTGGCAGCTTTATGCCCTACCACCTTGTGAACAATATTGCACTGCAAAGCCCTGAAGGCTGAAATACTTGGTTCACAGAGGAGATACAGCTCACACACTAGCTGTGGAAGCATCTCACAAGCTGTCTTGTCCTTGCTCTTTGTGGTGCATAGCTAAAGCTTGAAAAGCTTTTTTTTTTTCCCCTCACTCTTCCTGCCAAATCTGACAACATTTAACGGCCAGCTTTTCAAGTAAGCTCAGTAGTGGATAACCGTTCTGTTGGAAACTACTGAGTTCTTCTAAGAGTCTAACCCTTAGTACCAAATACAGCAGGGATTCTTTTCACTGGGAGCCTTTAGGTGTTAGCGTCAGCATTTTGTTAGGCTTGTTGACTGGGAAGATGCACATTTGATCATCAGGCAATTTTCTCAATGTCACCCTGGCAAAATAACAGCTCAAACTGATTCATTTATATATTTATGTTTAATCTTATACAAAACACTCAAATTTCCTTAAAAACAAAGACAGAACTTCTCCCATCTCAGTAGCGTTTTTCCCTCCCATGCTCTTAAAAGTAAATAAAGCAGGAAAGTTTTATAGATGTGATGCTTAGCACCATCTTAACCGGATGATTCTACTAATGAACTAAAGGAGGAGTCACATAGCTACTGTTTGTGGAAGTTCTTATCTTCCCTGTAGTCTGGTGGCTGTTATTCATGTCCTCAGTTATGCAAAGCCAGTGTCTTTAAGACTTCTGGTGTCTCAACTTTTTACATTGCCATAAATATCTTCCTTTTTAGATAATGATTCTCAGCTCGTGATTCTCACAAGCCTGTGTGATTCTCACCATTTTCGGTGTTTTTCAGAGCAAGGCAAAACTAACCCCTCGGAAGTCTTTCCTGAAACAAAGAGAAGGTATTGCAAGGCTCAAAAAAAAAAAGAGAATCTTTTAAAAGAACAGAGAAAGCATTCCAGAAGAGCTGATTTTGACTGCTGGAGTCACTTCTCCTGGCTTGGCCCAAGGCGTGCAGGCATACTGCAGCCAGGGAAATGCCCTCAGTTAAATCTGCAGGCCAGAAGCTCCGTGCAGATGGGTACATATGAACAACAAACAAATTGTGCTTTAGATGAGAGGGAGATGAAGGCTCAGACTGAAAGTGAAGCAAAAGAACTTGAGCACAGTGCAAAAGGGAGAGAAGGGATTGGGAGAGGTGGGGATACAAAGGGGAGTCCTGCTGCCTCATCTCTAACAAACTGGCCTGAACTCCTGCAACGGTGTCATGAAACAGTAATGGAAATGAACCTACGAGTAAGTGAAGAAAGTGAAACTCATCATACAGATCCTCTAGAGGAAGTAGACAGAACTGAAGGAAGACCTGTGGAGGGTACCGTGCAAAAGGACGTAGGTATGATGGACCAGCCTCTGACAAGTGATCTCACAGAGAGAGCAAAAAACCACTTTGAAGTCCTACAAAGGCATTCTCCATTTCAGAATTTAGGAGGCCAAATTAGGCAGGCAGAAGGGAGCGCAGCCTCTGCCCTCACACAGAGTCAGGGTCGAATACGTCCTGAGGAACTTGTTTCAGGGAGCCAGAGCTCAGAAAGCAAAAGAGGAGTCTGTACTGGGTTTAAGATCATCAATGATAAGATAGTAAAAATTGCCCATAGCTCACTGCAGGCCGTGGAGAAGAAATGCTCATCCCTGGCGTTCCAGCAGGGGTGGCAAAGGAATGGTGCAGCCGCCCCAACATGCCGTGTTGCATCTTTGTCCTGTGAGTCAAGCTTCTTATCTTCCAACAGTGATGGTGACCTCGAATCTCACCATGGTCTTTATTCCTTGAACTGTGGGACTCAGGGAGTAGACTGTACTGGCAGGCATTTGGATCTCTGTGATGGTGATTATGCCAGTGATGAGCCCAGTGGAACAGAAAAAATGCCTGTGAAAAAGTACAGCAGATCAGCTCCGAGGAAACAAGATGTTCAAGAGCTCTCAAGACAGCAAAGTCTGTCTCTCAGCACAAGCAGCAGTGATTCCAGTACTGAAGTTGTCAGGCCAAAAGGGAGCAAGGCCCACTCTTCTCTTCAGCGGTCTGCAGTTCATCTCACAAGATCCAAAAGGAGAGGGCATCAGCCTGAATCAAAGAATGAGAATAGTGTTAGGGATGTTAAAAACCTAGATCTGCCACCCTCAGCAGCAGTGAGCCAGATTCCTACTTTCAAGAGTAAAGAAACCTCTGCAGTGGAGGAACCATGGAAAAAACTGTTTACAAACACATCAGGTAAGACTTACCTGAGTTTTGATTTCCACTGATACAGGGAAATAAATTTCTCACAGTCTGTGACTCATTCTATGCATGCTGCCTGTGTATATGCCAACCTCCATCAGTATTTCTAAGTCCTAACCTGGAAAAAACAGAGAGGAGAGTTGTACCTGCAAGCCCCTTCTTATGCTTGGCTCCCCATCTTTCCTGGCCATTTTTCCTAAACCTGTTGCTTGCAGTGCACTTTCAGATAGAGAGTCTTGACCCCATGGTCTGTTCAGTGAGTCCCTGAAATGAGTGCTGGAGTTCCCTGTAGCATAGTTATCTTCATGTATTCCTTGCTAGTATTCCCTTGGTAGCGGGAGGTCCACATTTTCTGTTAACACTCTTCAGATATAATGTGATTTCAAAAAAAGAGTCACAAGCTGGGCAAAAGAATTTTTCAGATGTGCATATTTTGCTCCTAAAACAGAATGCTTCACATCAGTGGAAAATGGTGATTTCCTAAGAAATGTCCTTCAGATTGTCTCCTCATCTCAAACCCCCAGCTATCTCTTTGTTTAGAGTCAATCAAAATCAGTTGTCCTGCCTGCAGCAATAACTGAGGCAGAAGCTTTCATTTCTGATGGTTCTCAATTGCTCTGTCACAGCTTGCTAAGCATAATATCTCTACCCCATGTCGAGTTCTTGTTACAAAATACTCGTACCTGAGGCCTATCTGATAATTGCATTCAAAATAAGGTTAACCTATCACTTGACATTCACATACCCAGTAAGGAGTTATCCCCTGATACTGATATATCCCCGAATCTACTCACTTGTCATGTTCAGTAGAGCTTGGATTCCACCAAGAAGAGCTATGCTGGGAACTGAATGCTGCATAATTAGGCACAAATAAGTTAATTCTGTTCGAAAGGTTAAGCAGTAAAACTTCTGTACTTATACAGTCGGTTTGTGGTTTTAAATGCGTAGACAAGGTTTGTCAGTATTCAGAGATTTTTGTGTGCTAACATGATTGTCTTTATAAAAGAAACTCAGAACATCCTTACCAGAGGAGTAGAGACTGATATGTATCTTGGAGGAACCCCTTCACTGACTAGGATGAGAGAAGAACAAGAGAAAGCAAGGCATTTTCTCAGGTAAATCTGGATCAACCAAAAATCTATTTGAGCATGAGGTAAGGCCAGTATTTCCTTCAGGATCCTTAAAATGAGACTGCTAAATTCATTTTTACTGGCTAACCTGATTTCCAGGGCAGCCATGTAGCCTCTGAAAACTGAAGTGCTGAAAACTGAAACTGTCTAGATATCTAAACACAGTGAAGGGCTTGACTGAAGGGGCCACCTCTGAAAATGCTGGTGCATTTTTAGGCTTAAAGCTGAGTAGTGCCAAATGCTTTTTATAAGTTGCAGAGCATCTTCACATTACACTGAAATCAGTAAGAACTGAGGATATTTCATTTTACGGGATTAGGCCTCTAATGGGCTAAAGGATAAACTTCTCATGTCACATTGACTCAAGCATAGCCCGTATTTCCAAAATTGACAAAAAAATGTATAGCACATGCCAATGCCACCAGCATTGTAATTTCATAAACACATATAAACAAGACCAAGGATATGTTTGATACTGCATAAATGACAAACTTGAAATTTCAAGAGTTGCTTTTATAATTATTAAAACACAATAGAAGTGCTGCAAATTGCTTTGTTTTGTTTTTCACATCTGCAAAGAAGGGAAATAATTCCTTAGCACAAAATCCCTGGAAGAAATAAGTTTTTGAAATTATGGAGTTTGGAATGGAAGTGCTTTCACAACTGTAACTAATTACAGGTTATGCAATGAAATTGTATAGTAACTGTAATAAAATTTTAGTAGGTTTACAATCAAATCAAATATATTATTTTTTGAAATGATGAAATCTATTAGAAATTACTGTGTGCCATCTACTCTAAAAACAGATGAGATTCTTTTTCTTTTTACGTTTACAGCCTGGTTCTTAATAGGTATGTGAATTTGGTTTGTACTAAAGTAAGAATAATTTATTGATTCAGCCTTTTATTTTAATAGATAGTACAAACTAAGAAATTATTTTTCACAACTGTTTGTCCATTTCTCTTGATTTCAAAGACCGTGTGATTAGTGCAAAATGGTATTTCAGAATTATATTTATTAGTCTGTATGATTTCCTCTCATAGCTATCTTTCAGCAAAATGCCTTTGCATATCTTAAAATAAGTGGCTTCATTAAAGATCCATCTTGTCTTTGATCACCAGCTGACTGTGATAGGGGTGCCAGATGTGAATATTTGTGGGATTGGGCAGTTTATAAAACTACGAATGAAATCAGGTGCAGCTTTTACTTTTTCTGATGTTAATTTTGGCTGTGGAATGATATACTGGTGCAGAATGACTACGCTATGCTCTCTGCCAGCACTGTGTTCTCTGTCTGCTGGCAGTGCTTCCCAATGAGGCTGCCTTACAGATGGCAGTACTTTGATGTTTCATAATACCACAGGTTTTAAAATGAAATTTTAGTGGACTTATTCCTGTCATCAACCACAGTAGCTCCTAACATTTTCACACAGATGTTTATCCAAAAATGCATGAAAAGTTTGATGTGTGCATCTTTTAATTTCCTTTTTCTAATTTATGAGTTAAAACTAATTGTGAACAGCAGCTTATCCTCCTTGATTGCATTGGCCCTGTGCTAATTTATGCAATCTGAGAATTTGCTTTGTATTTTTAAGGTAAGTAAGCCTGTCAGGAACCCTAGCTAGTAACTGCAGCAATAGCACTTCACGTATGCCATGTTGATGATTTATGCTCACTGAAAGCAATGAAAATCCTTTTGAAAGCAACATGACGTGCCTGGACCTGCCCAATCTATCCATCCTTTGGTTTCCAAGTACTTTGTTTTTAGACCTTTGCAGGCATGAAAGATTTAGGCAAGAGGTTTAAAACAGTTGGGGTGTAGCGTGTAGGCTTTATCTTGTGCCTAACAGAGCCAGGAGAGCGACCAGTTGCAGTTCCCAGGCAGCGCTGAGGGAATTGCTGCTGTTGACTCTTGATATTAATTGGAGGATTCGGTGACGATCATTTAAGTTCCCTCCACAAGGACAAATTGTCTGCCATTTGCAATATATAACTTGCTTGTAGTATTGAATCCACACTGTTCATGGATCCACAGCAGTAGCCATCATTTTTTTCCCCATCTGCCTTTGGCTAAGAGGCTTTTTGCTGGAAAGTGACCTTTGCTTCAGGTATGCATGCTTTTTGCCTCACAGCTAGCTCACTGCAGCATGCTTCATGTAGAGGTATGCTCGGGAGTCGTGCAAGAACATGAGTTGGTACAAAATACTTAGCCTTTTTTCTCCATTCTACATCTCTGATGGACACCTCGCTCCTATTTGCAGTTTACAGCAGAAGTATGAACTGTGGTATATCTAAGTCTCCTAAGAGGTTTTGCTGTGCTTGCTTTTGGTATCTGCAGTTATTACATCTCACGAGGGTAGGGGCTGTTGGCCTTGAGGCAACCATAACACCTCCATACAGCTAGGCTGTCTTACCCTGCAGACCAGGATGGCTACATCCAAGCTGCCTATTGGGAACGATTCCTGGCCTGCACTAACCTTACTAGGCGTCGTCTAGTGGAATGGTAGCTGGCCCGTGCCAAAACCAGAGATCAGCAATGTTGTACTGTGGGCAATGCCACACTTGGGTTCATGCTCCAGCTCTGATTAGTTTACTTGTACAGATGTAACTCTTGTGTAATTATGAAGAAGTTGATACCAGCTGAGATGCTGGAGGGCATAGCTCCCTGGCTTTTATTTTACTGGGTGCAAGAAGCTTAAGATAGCACTGTTCAGTCTTTGGTGGAAGATGTTTTATATAAAACTTGATTCTTGCTTTTCTTCAAGTAGACCGTATTTCAGAGCAGCTGGTCTGGATTCAGAGAAGTGGTGGGCTGGACATAATCATGCAGGAGCTATATTTGATAATTTAACTGGATTAATATGAGGAGCGTTAATAATTTTATTGAATAGTGATGAGACATTTTTAACACGCATTTAATCAGAATATTAGATGGTCTCATTTAACATAGAACACAACCAAAACTTAGAATTACGTAATAAATGTAATGGGCAGCAGGATATGGGAAGCCCATTTATTTCTTAGAAGCATTGTGAGCTTTCGTGTTTTTCCTCTGAAGTGGGAAACTCCATTGCTGAGAGGAAAACACGAGGTCATGGCTGCCTCCTGTAGCTCTCATTTCTTTTCAAGTAATACTGATGGCCAGATGGTGGCTATGGGCCATGAAGTGAGCTGAAGCAGAAAGCTAATGTATAATTTAATATCATATTAAAAATGAACTAAGCAGCTGTATCACAGTCCTACAAATATGCTGCATTTGGGGCTACACAAAGATTTATGCTCTTAAGCTCTTGCCAAGTCTTTAAGTACACTTCCAGACTACTCATGCCTTGACACCTTAGGTTTGAAAGCAAAATGTCTTCTTGGTACTGAGCTTCCACATTTAACACTTGGAGTTTACTATGGCAAGCAAAGTGCTTTGCCTCCTTCCATGCAGGTGCATGAGTGTTCTCATCTGTGGGAATGATGGGGCTGCTGGAAGTACAGCTCAGTCCCCAGCCTTGCATGGTCAAGCGCTTCATCTCCATAAGTGCAGTGCCAAGGGATGAACCATGCCTTCTGCAAATCTGCCCTAATTTAGCTTTCCTTGTGCACAGAAAATGAGTTTGAAAGCCTCTAATTTAGTGGTAATTGAGCTGTTGAAAAAGAAAACCCCAATGAGAATTGTTTCCATCTGCTTAGTAGAATAAATTCTGCAGCCAAACTTGTGCATGAGCATTCTCAATGACAAAGGACCTGAATTTTCAGAAGTGCTGATCTCTTCCAGAGAAAAGTTAGTGTATTTAGGACATGCTCAAACCCTCCAAAAACCATGCCTACAAAAGAGCTATCTAAAGACGGTCCTTGGTTATAGTCTTTATGCCAGCTTTATACGCCTTGTTTACCTTCTGAACAGAACACGAATGGATGAATTTGAGACCATCGGGAACCAGGAGCTAATTCACCCTTTGGAATACAGTAGAGAGCAAATTCAAACACTGCAGAAAGAAAAAGTTGAACACAGCAAGTTCAAAGGAAGAGCTAGAGTCACTGGAGAAAATGTGAAATCAGAAGAAATACAAGTAAGCTGTCTTCTGTAGAGTAAATGCACTGTTCTCTTCCATGTATGTCCTTCAGTGCAGGCATCTTATGGTAGTACCTGAATCCTTCCATTAGTCACAGGTGGCCATTTCTTCTGCTACTTCTTGGGGACGGCTGTGTGTACAATGAAGATTTTTTTGTGTTAATAGGTCATTGTTTTAGTTTTTGTTTTAAATGTACGTCCCACTATTTTTATAATAATAAGAGGAAATAGGCTGAAGAAATGTGTCTTCTATTTGGTACAGAAGGTTGTGAGGTCTCCCTTATTCTTTATATTTCTGTGGACTGATTTTTCCAGATTTGAACTGGCTCTTGAAAAATGTCCATCTCCTGCCATACTGGACTTTAAATCTTTGTGAAGATTTTTAACTATCCTGATCTTTGTTTTTCTGGTACCTGGAATATATCTAGCCATGTATCTAATTTAACAGCCTAACCTGCCTCATCAAATCCCACATTCATCCTAAAAAGGCTCTAGATCACTTAGAACTTGAGTGTGAGATGCTGGACACTGGCCTTCAAGAGACATCAGGGCGCATTCAAGACAAAAATATGAGTAGTTCACATTGTACTTTCTGAACATAAAAATAATTTAGGAGTAGCTTGTTTACTAATTATGCTACATTTACATGAAAATCAGTCCTGGGAGCTAAAGTTACGTAAATACACCTATTCAATCAATCCCTTTGCTGCCTGCCTTATCTGCTCTTATAGACGACCCAGGCTTCCAAATTCACCTTCAGAGGTTTCTCCAGAACTCTGTAGTTCTTTTAATCAGCTTTTTCTCTAGCTCTGCACCTATTGACAGCTAATTTGTGTTCTGCCTACTTCACATGAAACCTACTGATGCAAAGATAACCTGTTTTCCAAAGCTTGTCTCCGAAGAGCTATCTGTAGTCTCTGATAAAGGCATAGAAATCTCCTGAGGAGGATCAGTGAAATGGGATCTCAGTGTCCTTAGAAATTCCCCAAAGCACCTATGGGAGGCAGAGCACGCTCTCTAACATCTGTGTCACCAGTAATCTCTGATAACTCAATGTAAGAAAAGAATAATGAATTTACCAGAGTAATGAGAAACAGAAAGGAAGCGTGAATTTCATGTAAATTTAGTGAAATTGGTTTGAAGTGGTTAGTATCACTGAGAAAGCATAATATCCAGCAAAGGCATGTTATCTGCTTCTTACTAGATGTAAGGCTCAGTCCATATGTCGGCTAAGTACGCAGAAAGGTTAGGACTCAAAAAACTCTTGCTGGATGAAAGAATGTAAGGTAGGAGATGATATATAGACTGAAAAATTAGCGTCCTTGAAAAGGGAAAACCAGCTCAAGCATCATTAGTATGCTCATTTAGATGTAGGCAAAGAATTATACCCAAAAGCTAGAATAAGCTCTGGAGGCCATTGATTTGTCTGGCTTTGCTGAAGAGATGCGTTACAACATTTGTTTTTAATAAGAATTTGAAAGAATCTGATCAAATCTTGTCAACTTCATGCTCTGGTGAACTGCAGTAGCATAGTCCAGGTGTGAGAAAAACGATATGCACAACCAAGATAAAATTATGCTCTACTGGAACTGAATTGTCTCTAATTTGAGAGGATAGGAAGCATGAACTACAGTTATTGCTCGGTAGGATCTTGGTATCATTGAGCTACTTGCTACCATATCGTGAATGGTAGCAGTCCTGGATGGTAATGCTCTCTTCCAACTCCAGGTTTCCTGTAGGTGCTCTCAAGTTCAGTTTCCTCAGTCATTCATTGCAAATTCTTTTAAATTCCTTTAGGAGAATTCCATCTATTTGGATCCTCTGTTTCACTCTCCTTAGCAATAAAGTCATATTTGAATATCTGTGGCTATGATCCCTAGTAAGAAAAGTTGGACTGAACGATGTTCTGCTGCAAAAGGATGTTTGATCTAAACTGATACGCTTGACAGGAACCTGCCAATTTCAATGAAATTCTTGACCAGAAAAGTTTTGAAACACGTCAAAATGGCAAGATAGTACTTTGTTCAAACTTTATATACTTTTTGCTTTTCATTTGTATGTTTTTGAAATACGTAATTTTGGTACTATAGATAGTGGTTTGTCTGCTCATGTTTCATATTTCTCTAAGTGAAACATTTACAGCATGAAAATTTAAATAGTTTCAGTGAGGCTATTTTAGCATTTTAAATGAAAATATTTTGAATATCCTCTCCGCAAAATATTTTGAAACAAGCTTTTTTTCCACCTAGGTTTTTTAAAAGTCGTTAGAATTTCTACTGAGGACTAATTCTGTTTTCTGACTAGGTCTAGCCCTAGAAATGAAGCTTGATAGAATTATTTTGTTATTTTGTTCCCACCTGTCAGCATAAAGAGCTGACATTCAAAAATTACAGTTTGCAGCAGAACAGTTGTAAATCATTGAGTCACTTACCTGTGAGATTTTCATGTCCAACATGTCTGTCTGCTCTTGAAAGTGGCTGATTGATGTACGGACTTCTGACAATGGGCAGTTCACAGCAAAGAAAGGATGATGATGAGAAGGACAGAATTAGGCAGATACACAAATGAAGGGAAAGCAGGAAGAAGGGAGTACACAGGACAATTGGTTGACTGCAGAGCAAACTAAAGTTCTTGCTTAACTCCACTGGTGTCACAGTTTCAATATCCAGCATGAGTGCTCTGAACAAAGGGGAGGACTGAGTTTTGGAGACAGCATGGGGGAGTGTAGAAGAAGAATATAGAGAAAAATTATAGTGACGCATGCGTATGGAAAAGTCAACTCCAAGGTGCACCAAATTTCATTATTTCCATTTCCCTTAGCTCAATTAAAAATTATGTCTTTGCTATTCCCTGCTGTTTGTGGGGACTGTTCAACTGACCATGTGGCCTTATCACTGCATGAGAAGCTGATGAACTGCCAGTTTTGATTGTAAGACATACCTTGCCTTTTTTTTGGAAACATCTACATTTAATGGTGCTTATTTGCATGATTGATTTTCATTTCCTGCTTTTTCTTCACACAGACCTCCCTCTGTTTTCTTTGTAAGAGTATTGTCACGCCAATGAGTACCGCATAGTATGGAGAGGATTAGATGCTGATTAACCGTTTTGCTCAGTGCAGGGAAATTTGTTGTCTCTCAAGTGGGTTTTGCTGTGTTTGCTGAACTTTATGCTGCCAAGGCTAGACCTTTTATCATACCTGGACTAGCTCATTTAAAACTGGCTGAAGAGCTCTGCACTGTGGTCAATATCCTTAGTCTCTGTATTCGGTTCTTTATCCGTTACCATCAAAAATGAGCGTCTCTGAAGTGTTTTGTTTGTCTACATTTGATCAACATCCCTGGCACATCTCAGATAAGCTCCTTTTACTTTCTTCTCAGCACTTTCTCAGTTCTCTTCTGTCTTTCAGATATTTCTCAGCCACCTGTTTCTGCATTTTTGCTGTCTGTTCCTTGCCTACCTCAGCTGTTCCCATGTTCACTTCTTTTCTACCCCCCCACTTACACAGTCATTTCTTCTTCTTCCTCCTTTTTTTTGTGTGTTTACTTTGTTTCCTGTTAGCTACATATTTTATTTGTGCTTTCTTCACACTTCTTCAGTGGTGCCATGAAATCCTCACTGTTGATCTGCATATAAATGTAGCATCTTTGACTTGTCCTCTGCCTGATAACATACTGCTGCCCTTGTTAAGTAAACCTCTTGATAACCTGTTCCTATCATAGTACCCTAACGAATAAAATATCTATTGCATTGCAATGTTGAAGAGAGAGTATGTGCTTGAAATCTTGGAAAGTGGGAGAGGAGGGGTGAAATTGCAACCTTTAATCTATTACCAAGGTTAAACTAAAGCAGTGCAAAATAGTATATTGGAAAAGATGCAGTGTGGTGATACAGAGTAGTAAAAAGATATTTTGAAGAACAGATGTTTGAACATGAAGAAGGATAAGAAGAAAATGTGATTATACAGACCAGCATGTGGTCCAGGAAAAGACATTCTAGGTGAATTGCTTACACTATAGCTTAGTGAAATGCTAAGTTTAAGTGGACAAGTAGCAGTTCCAGGTATATGAAGATGAATATTAAGTTGGCAGAATGAGATGGTGTTATTTTTCTATATGGCATTGGTAAAAGCATTTCTGAAATTATAGCTTTTTTTGTTTCTCAAAAAAAGTTCCTGAGAAATTGGGAATAATTAGGGAAAAAAAAGAAGCAGAAATAACTGGGTTTTGTTTTTTAGTTCTAAACGTAATTTATCCAGAAAAGATTGAGATGATGGTTTACCAGTACCTACACAGTGAAATGTTTTGTAATAGCATACAATTCGTTGTTTCTAGTAGAACAGTGCATAATAAGATCTGTTGTTTGGATACTGAAGGTACATATGTATTTGTATTCAGGTAGGAATATATTGTGTCTTTTTAACTTTAAAGGGACAACATACAGTTATCTAGAAAGTTGGTGGATTCTGTGTGTAAGTTATTGCATGAGATACTATGGCCTGTGTTATGCTTGAAGCTAGCCTCAATGAGTTTTGTGAGCAATTCTAGCTTTATAATCTAGCCATTCCAGACAAGAAAATATTCACAGTCAAGTGCAAACCATTTGACTGAGTCAATACCATGAAGAAAACTAGCTCAAGGAGCCAAGACACCTAAGACATACTCTTAGGCAATCATTTATGTTTGCATTCATTTTTCTTTTGCAATAGGCTAAATGTGTGGGTGAGAGAATTAATTTGTTTTAAATACAGGAGTTTTCAGTGGTTTTTTTTAAAGATCATTTCAAATGTGTTCTTTAAATATTGCACTAGACCTTTAAGCAGAATAAAATTCTCCATGCTTCTTTCTGGATGTGTAAAATGGGCATGCCTCGTCCAGAGCCATGCAATGACATGGCACACTTTTTTCCTATTGGCAGATGTTAAAGCAGCAAATTGCAGGACTTCAAGAGGAGTTCAAGAGAAATGAGTCCTGCTGGCATGCTGCCTACAGCAAGCTAAGAGACCAGGTAGAGGCGCTGACCAGACAGAACATGGAGCTTCGAGATGAGCTCAGAGTTGCAGAGCATCAGAGGCTGAAAGTAGAAAAAAGCCCAGGAGCTGTGAATTTCATGCACAGAAAATCGGAGACCCCGGTAGTGGAAGAAATTACCTGTTTAATATTGTTTGAAAAATTCAGGTTTAGTTTTTCTTTTGAGCAGGCATGCATGAGTACTGTTCCTCTACTACTTCCATGGTTAGCCTGCAGGAGGTAAAAATCAGCTCTATAGTAAGCCATGTTTAAATATACTCTTTGTATATTGGGACTCTTCCGTTAGGATCTTAATTATCTGTGAGGTGTGTACCTCCACCAGGTGATGTAAACCACCTATCTCAGGCACTTATATCAGGACAGATGGTACCTGTCTCCCTCCACTGACAAGGGAGGGAGCCTAGATAAGTAAGTTACATGAAGTACCTAACTTCTTAGTCAACTAAAGCCAAATGAGATGAATTCTACTCTTTATGTATATAATAACTTTTACTTTTTCAATAAAACACCCCTTGAGCTAGCTTCAGGCTGGTTGCCAGCAATAGATATAGTGGGACCTTTTAGTAAGCCTCATTTCAGTTCTTATTTTGTTCTGTAAATTTTCCGTGGAGAAAACACTCAAGGTGGCCTGCCTTACAAAAGCAGAAGTTGGTCTACTGAATGGAAGTTGCACTGGGGTGGAGCAGGGAAGAGGAGCAGGGTGGAAAATGCAGTTGGCTAGTTCAAATGTCTCTGGTGATCTTCTGAAATCAAAGAGGTTTAATCGTAGTTTAACAGTTTCTATTGCCCTTTTTCATTCAGTATCTCATTTGTTTAATAAATTTGTAGGGTCCCTTGTTACGTTACTATGGAACTGAGTAACGGCATTTATTATGTTCATCTTACAGCACACTGGGAGGGAGAAGAATGCTATTATCTCCTTACACAGGGGAAAGCAATCTGGAGAAATTAAATGGTTCAAACTAGAATTCAAAAGGCAGAACTCTGGTTTAAGTTGGTCATTTCATCTCCTTGTATGCTCAAGAGAGAAAAATAGGTGCCTTCAAAGAGCAATTAATTTCATCCTATGTGAGAGAGGGGAACTAGAATAGGTAACAGTCTTCTAGATGGTGCAGTCTGGTGAGATGAATCTTCCACAGAGAGCCAGCTTCTAGGAGAGAATTGAATCTAGCCCTTAACTCCTAGATATTTCTCTAATTTGTATCTAATTTCTGTTAATATATCTTTAAAACATGTTAGAATGACAATTAACCTGTCTCTCTATTTATGTAGTGAACAAGTTTTTGATCTCCCTTTCTATTTGATTTTAATGTTCTCATTAATGAGACTTATCACCTAACATTGTTACATTCATTTGAAAATGTCATTTCAAGTTAGCATTTCACTTTACTTTTGATTTGCCCAAACCTATTTTTTAGTATGGCTCATCCTTTCATATATTGTTAAGGTCAGAGAAAAAAAAAAGATTAGACTCACATGTGCAGAATAAATGATATAAAAATTCCAGTAAAAGCAAGGGTAAGAAAACGCCAATTCACTTCTGTTGCAGGACAGATTTGTCTATTATTGCCATTGCTTTGGGACGTTTGGTGATGTAGAGCTTTCACTGAAGCCACTGAAGATTTTTGTTGTGTGAGAGTAATTCTTGCCTGGCATGAGGATGCTTTGCCAGGCATTAGGATTTGTATGTAAAGATGCTAGGGTGCTACATTATAAAGACTGCTGTGTCTGATGTTGGGGAACATCAGCACAACAAGATGTGGAATTTCATTCATTGTTTAAATATATAGGGGTTAGGTTTCAATCTTGAGCCATTAAATATGCTAGTTGTAGTGTTTTCATAATGAGAGACTAGCATCCTCTCTGGGTATCTTTGCTTTGAAAGAAACAACTGAAGTTGCCCACCATCCTAGGATTTCTGAATAATGGCTATCAGTATACTTAGATGACATCATTTATTATGACACAAAATCTGAAGGTTTTGAGAGTTTTTCCTTATTTTTGCCAGATTTAAGTGTCTGATTCTACTAGAAGCAGCTTAAATTATTAATTATGTATTTATAAGAAATTCTCCATTAGCTTGCAGAAGCCATTTTGCAAGAGACATCATCTTCATCCAAACAAGAAGAAAGATCATGGAGAGACAGTCACAAAAGCCACAGCATCACGCCTGTGGGGATGAAGACATCTTTGCAGAAACCTTCCTTCAGAAATGCGAATAGCAAAGTATGCATTCCTGTTGCCAGTAGTTACATTTCCACAGTTTTGACTATTTATTTTAGAGACTGCTCTTTGGGATCAAAGTTTGTGCAAATGAAAGTGTCTGTATAAGCATAGTCATGCTTTTTGCAGTGGGTTTGTGCTGTGATTCAGCATGACTTTGCCTGTATTTGTCTTCCAGTTTTGCAATAGCAGGAGAAAAAATCCGTTCTCCCTTTCCTAACTGAATTGCCTATTATTTGCGTGTGTACTCAGAATCCGTTGTACCTGCTGCTTCAGAGCTTGGTTTTACAGAGAAGTGCCACAGAGTAAGGCTGCAGTACCATGGGGACTCCACTTAGAGGAGCTCTTTCCAACCTTGCCTCAGTGAAGCATAAATCCAATATTTTGCCTTTCGAGGCAATAAGATGCCACAGAATTTGCCCTGTGTGTAAAATACAAATTTATCTCTAGTGCCCTTGTGCGTGATAAAGTCAGTGGGAAAATTACTTAGCTTTTTAGACGTTTGCTTCTGAATGGTAGTTCTATGACTGCTCTTCTACAGCTTGCTTACTGAATTGCTTAACACATCTTACAGTTTATTTTATATATATATATATATATATATTTAGATATCTTGCTGTGCTTTTCCTTCTCTTGGCTTCATATTTCTTATTTTTTGGGTGTCTTGATAGTTACAAGTCCTTCCTTTTGTTCACACTTAGCCAAAATCTGTGGTTTGTTCCAGTGAACAGCCTCTCTGAAATTGCTCCTATCTGTTGGAAATTAGTGGTCTATTAGTGGTCTATAGGAACAGATGCCATTGGCTACAGCAAAAACTAGCTCAGATTAGCCAACACGCTACCATTCCCTACCTGTTTCACTGAAATGAAATTTATATTTAGATATTTTGCTTTGCTTTTCCTTCTCTTGGCTTCATATTTCTTATTTTTTGGGTGTCTTGATAGTTACAAGTCCTTCCTTTTGTTCACACTTAGCCAAAATCTGTGGTTTGTTCCAGTGAACAGCCTCTCTGAAATTGCTCCTATCTGTTGGAAATTAGTGGTCTATTAGTGGTCTATAGGAACAGATGCCATTGGCTACAGCAAAAACTAGCTCAGATTAGCCAACACGCTACCATTCCCTACCTGTTTCACTGAAATGAAATTTAAAGCATGTCAGATGAGGCAGGGGGCTCCTAGTCTCTTGTAGTGATAATGATAATGTGTGACTTGAAATTCAGCAGGCAGTGGCTTCAATGAATTTTTCATGGTACTGGATATGAAAAAAGGTGATCATAAGCACAACTCTAAATTGAATATGCATAAGAAAGCAGAGTTAGCCATGTCAGAAGTCATACCTTCTGAATGGGACACAGATACTAGGTGTCTGCTTTCAAGACTGGCTACCTTTCTAAACAGTATATGCCATTTAGAAATCAGAAGTTTGATAGGTTTAGTGCAGGAAATTGTTTTGTTTCTTCTATACTGATGTTGGACCTCCACAGTCCCTTCTACAGCCAGGATCTCTTTGTCACTGAGTGCTGAGGTGCACAGAGTTATGAACCAGCATAGTGATGTGAGATATACTATCTGCAGCTAAGATGGGCGGCAAGGGCAAAAAGCTATCTTTGGTCTTAATTGTTAGCTTATCCCGAAGGTTTTCAAAGTATGAAAGAGTTTTTCTTTTGAACATCCCCAGCATTCCTGTGAAATGAGGAAAACACAGAAACATTCATTCTTCATAGAGACTCCCTTAGGCTTGCTAAGTTCATTTTCCTTGTAGAGTGCTCAGCAACATGTGAAAAAAATTGTGTCTTCAGCAGCAGTTCAGAGAAGGGGGAAGCTGAGGACAGCAGACTTCTAGGCTAGCTGTTGTCTGAGCCTTCATAATATAACCAGTATTGGGTCCAGTCCAACGGGAATCCAGCTCAAGCATGAGATAGACTGATGGGAATAGTGCCCAGATGTCCTGAGTGAACTCTGAAATATCTGACAGAGACACGCGTTCTTTATCTGATCGGGTGGTAGTTGCCAGAGTGGCTGCTGATTATTTGAATCAGGAAATGAACACTCAAGTAAACAGAACATTAAAAAGTAGTACAAAGAACCAGGAAGGACGAAATCTGTGTAATAGTAATACACAGATCTGAACATAGTGACTCACTTGTATTTCCTTTGTGTGTAAGCTCTTGCTAGCAGGTGGACGCTTGTCCTAAAAGATTCTGTGCATCTAGACAAATATAAAGCAGAGACATGTGTCACAGGAACACTTGTATAGCTGTATAAGGTATTTTAATTAAAGCTAGCTGGGACTGGACCAAAGATGGCTTTACTGTGCCCCTTAACTACATATAATTACTGATTCTTTCAGGCCTCATTTCTAGGCTCATTAAATATATGAGTTACAGTCATAGTCGAGTGAGGAATAATGGGAAAATATCTAACTGAAATTCCGGTTGGATGGGCAACAAAGAGCCCTAAAAGGGTTGAGAGAAAATGTAGGCTTTAATGAAGCTAACTAACTGGAGTTAAAAGCCAGACTTTCCAATTTTTTGCAGCCATTTATAACCCAGATCAAATTATCTGAGCAATATAGCTGAGTGTTGACCATGCTGTATTTTGGTTACATACGTATAGCTGAATAGAGTCAACTGATAATCCCCTACAAAGATTCAAGTGGTCCCAAAACATACCTATGCAAGATACCTCCCAAAGTTCAGTATAGCGCAAGCTAAGAAAAGGGAAAAAAGTGTTAAAAAATTTAGGGTTCTTTTGCACAAAATTTTCTTGTGTACTTAGTTGTACTGACCCATTCACTGAAGATAGTTCCTAGTTAAATGTGGAAGGGCTGTGATGATATGAATGCACCAAAACCTGTGGACTTTGCTGTATTTGCAATGGAAAGGTTGTCTGAATCTTTCCTTTCAATCTGATGCTGAGAGGAAAAAATGTTTAAATCGGGTCAGGATATTGCTATAGGATCACTGAACTGTACTGTGACTGTTTTGAAAAACAGCGTTAATAAAGCTATCTCATGCTAGCCAGGTTGTTGATTCTAAGAGAAGGGTTTAGTGGCTTTAAACAACAATGGCAGTAGTTTGAATTATGCAAACAACTGCATGTCAGCTATGTTTGATGAGAAACTCACTGCAAGTTCACAGATAAGGGCAGAAAGCTACTTGGGAAAATGTGTTTTCCAGAGAGAAAAAAAAAAAGTAGGATGGGAACATTGAACAAAGTTCAGGAGTTCATATCAAGGTGTTCTGCAACAGGAGAAAGATGTAGAGGTATTTTTCAAGTCCGGGATTCATGTCCTTTACTGCCTAAAGTGTGTGTTTTCTCAGGTTTTACGGCTGCATGATGACGCTTATTATGAGCCTGGATGTCAAAAAAGTCTGTGTAAAGCCAGGCGTTTATGAGAGCTGTGACATGCTGTGCGTAGCTGTTGGGACAGCTATGTTTGCAGTTTTCTGTCAGTTCTTAGGAGCATGGGATTGACTGGAGGAGCCTGGTTATTTTCCACATTTATAAAAATACCTTGAGACTAAGCATTGTGTTATGTCTTCTCCAGGCACTGGAGTTGACAGCCTGATACCTAGGAAAAAAAAACAAGTTTCTGAAGTGGCACTGATCTGATCAAAATAATACATTTGACCTACCAGAGATCTGACATGTTATTGCCATCAGGATGCAAAAAAAAATAAAATAAAATAAAATTGAAAGATTGAAACAAGCTTACATTTTCCACAGGAAAAATAATAGAGATGACTATAACGGCAAAAATTAAAGATGCTAAATTGATAAGGAAGTGTTTTCAAGCAGCTTGGCTGCGTATAGGTTTGAAAACCTCAGGACTCTTGTCGGAGCAACAAAGGCAGACCACAGAGGTCCTCTTCCCTGTTAGCCAGTCACTGTCTTATGTAACCTATGGAAAACCCAGAAATATTCAGTATAACTTGAAGGATGCTTATACTATCCCTTTAGCTTTTGAATGTAACGTGCTTCTCCCACCCCATCCCACACTATGTGATTTACTTCAGTGAAAAGATACAGAAGCCCCCAGAGCTGGAAGGGCAGAACTGTGACAGGTTGATTTTATTAGCAGGCGACTTTCCCAAAAGGCAGGAATTTCTAATCAGAAGAGCATAAATGGAAAACCATGGTAGGATCAAGTCAGGGGTCTTGGCGGTATCCTCACTGTCGTGCAGTTGTCTTCCTCTTTGGTGTCCAGGAGCATTCTTCTGGGAGGAAGGACTAGTTCCTTTCATCTGTATTCCAAGCCTATAGCTGGAGAGCAAATCCACTGTTAGGATTTTACCATTAGTATCTGTTTATAAAAAGGCTAAAGGTGACACTTGGAAACTCTGAAGATACTAGTCACCATTTATCTCACTCTTAAAATACTTTGGAACTGCAAGGGTAAATGCATATCCTTTGAAAGAGCTGTATTTCCCCTTCTGTTGCTTATCAGGGGAAATGGCAAATGTGTGTTTCCTCAGAGCCCAGGGAGTGCAGAGCATGAACATCTCATATAGCGATGAGTCAAGAGCTGCCACAGGCACCTCGGACAGGGTGGAACTGAGTGTGGCTTGGAAGATCTGCAGGCTGGCCTCAGTAGATAATACTTGCAACTCTTTTCAAGCAACCTGATTTCTGAGTGCATCACATTAGATTTTCAGCAGAAACGTGCTCTCTTCTAGTCTTATTAGACAGATTTTGCTGTCTAATTTTGCCATGGATTTTGAGGACCTTTGATTCTGTTCTTTCCTTGTCTATGAGAATTCTTTCTGAGAATTATGAAGCAGGGAAGTATGAGTTCTGGAAGTATGTAATGAGCATGTAACACCTGCACCTGCACCTTTTGTAGTACCTGCGTTTTCACTGCTTTATCTATGAGTATTTGTTGCTTCCTCCCAGGTTTTTCATGTGTTAGTCAAGGTGTGGGAGTGCCAACTCTACATGATACAAGCTGTGATTTTTGAAGGCTATAAGAGATCCTTATTTATCGAATTTGACAATTGAGAGATTTCCAGAATAATCCAGTTTGCATGAGCATCACAAAAACCTATAGATATAAACATCTGGGAGGAAGATCCCGTTAGGAAATTTAAAGGATCACTGCTGAACGTGGGGAACAAGGAGAACATCACATTGTTAAAGTCTGTATAGTGTATATAGGCTCTAAGTAACACCAGCTACTCCTGCTCTCCGCTGCCTAGCTGTTAGCATAGATCTGTAGGACTGGAAGGAAGCTCGAGAGGCCAGCTGGTCCTTCCTTTTGCTGAGAGCAGGATCAGTGACACTGACAGTTAATTAGTCTGTGCTTAGCTAGCTCCCATGAAAAGGGTTCCAAAATGAGTTGGCATCTTATGCTGCCTAACTATTATTTTACTTAGAAGTTTTACTTAATGCTGGGAGGCCATTTCCTCCTCAGCCCCTGCATCCTTTTTGCATTTAAGGGTTTGCATTTAATGGTGATTCATTTGCTTCCAGTGAAGAAAAGCCAAACTATTTATTCAGATGATTTAACAACTTTGCCTGTGAAAATGGTAAAATTGAGAGGCCTTTATCAAGAACCTGATCATGTGTGATTAACCCAAATACTGAGTACGTGGTTGCCTGGGTTACAGTGATTGCTCTTATTTATGAAATGATATCTCTTAGAATGACATCCATCTGTACAAAAATGAGGACTACAGGTACCTCTCTACACCTGTCTTGATCCCCTTGTCATTATTGCTTTTAAAATAAGTGTGATAGTGTATACTTTAAAACTGCATAATCTATGCTATGACTGGCATTAGAAAATGAATTGGGCAGCTTGTGCAATACTGTGTGTAGCAACCTGGAGTACCATTACTAACGCTGTTCTGCGTGGAGGCTCTCACATACAGAAATTCATATTTTCCTGTAAGTGTTGAACAGTTAATCATGTACCTGTTGTAGGATTTTTAGTGGTATTTTAAGATGTTTATATCAACTTAATACAAATGTATTCAAAACCTTTTAGGCACTAAAAAGCTCTGTGCAAAGGACTGAGTCTTTAAGATCAGTAACAAAGGAACATCTAGAAAAGAAATCATCTAATTGCTTCCTTAGCAGAAGCACAACACCTACTGGCAGGAGAACACCTCACCAGGGAAGAGTAACACCTTCTGAGCCAGAAAAAGTAAGTCAGTAGCAAGGACAACTTGGAATGTCACTATTTCCTGTTTGCAGTGTTGTTCAGAAGCTGGATTGGGATCACGATCTCCACGTAGCTGCACTGTGGCCTTCTTTCTCTGGTACTTCAGTCCTTTTGCCAGAAATAACCTCAGGTATTGATCATGCATAGATTTATTCAGGCACATCCAGGCCTGAGCAAGAGTAAATGCTGGGGAACCTGTCCTTATGGCCTCAGAAAAGTTCACAGTTGATCACAGACAGTGAACATCCGTGTGCAGTGCGAGCTGGCGCTCTTCAGGGGCCAAGGTGCAACAAGGCAGCCACCTCACTGATAAGGGCCCCATCCCACTGCCCTGTGGGAGAAGCAGGGTAGTTAGGGTCAGCCAAGCATCCTGGTCATGAGGCAACTTTGTAGCGACAAGGCAGGTCTGAGAACGGTCAGGCTGGGAAGTCGGCTGGCAGGTCAGGGTCTGGGTTCGGATCAGTGAGGTGCATGGCCAAGCGCAGGCACAGCTGCAGTGCAGACCAGCAAGGGCCAGGAGCGAGATCCTTGACTTAAATGCAGCTCCTGAGAGAGCAGGGGAAGAAGCCCCCTCTGAGGTTTCTTCCAGCTCTTTCACCCCCGTCTCTTTCATCACAGCAGCCTGAATCAAGGTTAGACACCTGCACCATATCATGAGCTGGCCTTGAGTGCAGATAGCTGAACTCCTGGGAAAAGGAAGTGCACTCTGGGCCCTATCAATGACAGTTCCCAAGTTACAATGAAGCACGGCTGTATGTCAGTGCATCTCCATTTTGCTTCAGGTTGCACATCCGCCCTCTCCTATGGGGAAGAGGACAGATGACAGGAAATCACCTGGAGCTGTCTCCCATCCAAGCGATTTTAAGGAGCCTAACTCTTCTTCTTATGTAAAAGGTAAGATTTATGGGAACTTTCTGCCTGCTAATAGCGGTCTGCAAATGACTTGGAGATGCTGATCCCCAGCCTTTGGATTACAGGCAGTGTATTGTCACTAAAACTCTCCTATGGTTCTTAGGAGAAGTTAAAAAAAGTTAACTTCAACAAGAGAGGGAGAGAAGATTATGCTGTTGCCTGTAGTTACCTGCTCGGTTTGTTGCCCTGGAAGCAGAGAAGGTGGTGAAGGGAGGTGGGCTGCACTACTTTGGTCCAGGATGAAGCAACTTTGGGAGGATGGGCAGGCAGTTAGCAAACATTGTCACTATAAGAAGCAATAAGTTGCAGGAATCTGAGAGTTGGCATTTTTCAAAAACATTCTGAGATAGGTGTGTAAATGTGATTCAGCAATTTCCATATGCTTTCAATGACCCTTTTCATTTGCATTTTCTTATGGGTAGGTTTTTGTCCATTTCAGATAGCTCAGAAGAAATGTCCCTCTCACATAACCAGAACAGCAACACTTGTAGCTTTACATGCTGCAGTAACATTGGAGAAACACAGGTATTTCATTATGTAACTTCAAGATGATTCCATGCATCTGTGATCTCAGTTTTAATATACAGCATGCTAACTACCATGTAGCTGGGAACATGGCTCTTCTGGCTTTAATTTTCTTACATCTGCTCATGGTGATCTGTCTTTAAAACAATATTGTAATGGCTTACAAATAATATAGTAGATTTTGGTATCAATCTAGTCCTGTATGACTGTTTGACATTAACAGATTTGTGTTGCTAGTTAACGTGTTAATTTTGTCTCAGGAAGAAGAGACTCTTAATCTTAAAAAGACAGAAAAAATGCTTAAACCTTGGAATAAAGTGGCTTTTGTGACTATCAACAGGAAAAATGGCATAAATGCTTATGACAACAAAGTACCTGCAGAGAGTTCTCCTACTTTTCTGGAGGCTGAAGGAAAGGTTTGAGCAACTTATGGTTCTGGCTCTTGTACTGATCAGCAACTGTCTTCTTTCTGTCTGTGAAATGAGATGAAAAACACTGTGAAAAAGAAAATCTTGTATTCACACTTCTTTCCTGGCTACTTTAAAAAATATAACCTTTATTTCTGAGACTAATAGTGGATCATAATCTCCTGAAAAAATAGTTTCTGTTTTCTAGATGTATATTATATATATGTATAATATAATGTATATTATTATTATGAAGGGAGAGGGATTATGCTATCCATAAGATTTGTACCTGTCTCCGAAGCAAACCTGAAGCAAGATAGACCGAATTTGATTTTTTTTTTTTTGCTAATGTTTTGGTACCACTGCTAGCTTTGGAGTTATCCAATGTGTGGCTTTGCAATCTGTTGACTGGCATTGCTCATGTGCTCTGGAGGCTCTGCTGAAATAGCACGCTCAGTCCTTGGGAGATATTTTGACATACAGGCAACAGCACCAGAGAAACCTCCAACTGTCTTGGCCTGTGTGCGTGAAGTCTGGATTAGAAAGGAAATGGAGAACTGAAGGATGTTATACTTAGAGGGAAGGGAGGCCACTGTGGAGAACACCACAGCAAGAATGCTAAGATGAGAGAGGGCATTCTGCTGGCAAAAGCTTTGCAAGGGTGCTGTGCAGCGGACACTGTGCTGTAGGGGTGGGTCTGGGTACTTCAAACCCAGTTTACAGCATTTTGCTAGAACGCATCATTGCCCTGTAGGGAGAAGAATTAACTGTTCTATTGGATCCCACAATTCAGAATACACCACATCGTCAGACTGTAATTAACATTAGTTAATAATTGTTCTGGATGCTTTCAGCCTGACTTTTACTCCAGCAAACAATGTCCTGAATGTCAATTAACTTAAGGGTCCTTTCCATTGCCAGGCAGTACAAAGAGCACTCATTGTACCAGTGAACTGGGCATGTAGCATCCTGATTAGCTCTTAGTTACATAGTTAGCATTACCTGCACCTAAGAACCGTGTAATTAGCTTGGGAAAAGAGGATGCAACTAATACAGGTACCTTCCTTTGCAAATCAATAACCCAATATTCACAGATGATTCTGTTCTTTGTTCTTTTTATTCTCTCCACTTCTTATAGGGTAGTTTCCCAAAATGCACCAGATTTTTGGACTCTCCGTATTTTATTTTTTGTTTTGCAAACTGAAGTTAATTGAAGTTAATAGGAAACACTCCTATTTCTAAATAAAATATTAGCAAAATTTATTGCCAATGCAAGATTATACTTCAAAGAAAGGCAGCTTTCCCCTGTGTGTGTGTTAAGATAAGCATCTTTTTTTGCATAGTTGATTAAAGTTAATGAAAATATTTTTAAAACTTTTTTGTTTATATAACTCTGACTGTGATATTTTCATAGATATTGCCTCCAAAATCAATATTATCTAGAAGGTCATTGTTACACCAACAAAGAAGAAAAAGTGAGGAAGATGTGCAGGAAAAAATAGAGTATCGCGATGGAAAGGTGAGAGAAATTAAGGAGGAGAAAGACTTGACGAGATCATCAATAGTTCTGCAGTATAGATGGGAATCACTGCTTCAAGTAGGAATGGAGAATTAGTTCTCAAATGAAATGTCCCTCCTTTACAGGAGAGTTCAAGTATAAAGTAGCTGATGAGCTGGAAGTCCTGTAACTAAACTCTCTTACCTCCCATCCTGATTTGCTCAGTGACTTTCATCAGGTCCTTTTTGTTCAGCTGTCTCATTTGTGAGATGGAAGGAACAATACTGTTTAGAGATAAAAACATGCTACAGGGGTAGTGATGGTGTTTTGCAGTGCGAGATAAAAGACCATTCCTTTATTTCCCTGGAAGTGAATGTAATGTTAGTAAACTGTGCCAGTTGCTCACCACTTGTGGGGGAAGTCTTTTGTTACATGCAATTGAATAAACCTGGAGTAATGTCAGAGGCTCTGCACTTGATGTAGCCTAGTCCAGTTTGCTCAAGCCACCTGTCAAAATCCCCAAAGATTTCTCAGCTGCTTCTTACAAATTGCTTCCAGATGCCCATCGTCCCTAGGACCCATGCTCCTTGCCACCAAACTGGGCAACATGTTCCCAAGTGGCAGTGTCATTTTTCCTGCATGGCACCTCAGGTGTGATCTTGAAATACTGATTCTGTGGATGAGTTTATGCATTGGAAATCTGGTGCATTGGTGTTGGGGATGATCGTCAGCAATGGAGCCAAGTGACCCAGTGCTAGCTGCGCTGCTGATAGAGAAGCACTCTTTACAACACTATCACTGATGGTGTGGGGTCAGATGTGAACTCAGTCTCAGATGTCTCTTCAGCTACACTGCTCCAAGTAGGCTTCTCCTATTCAAGGTCTTTCTGCTACTGACTGAGGGAAATCTGTGCCTGATCACAGCTGTCAGCTCTGGGTAAGGCTTTTAGGTAGATGAAGTTAAGATAGTAGTTCAGTTTCTGTGTCTGCTAAGTCCTGGGCCTCTTTTCTCACCCTGCCAGTGCAGGTGTTGCTTAAGGGTACTTACCAGGAGGTAGTCAAAGAAACAGGTTTTGTGGTACAACAGTTGTTCAGGGGATACTGGTTTGAGATTCCAATTCCTTTATAGTTAATGTTGAGATGGGCTTTGTGAAATCACAGTTCCTTCTTGTAGAAGTAGAAAATACAGTGTCTGTTATTCTAATCCTTGAAAGAAAACCAATTATGAAAATAGTGCACTCTGATTTTTTTACCACTGAATTTTACTCATAAAACTGAGTGGTGGGATGCAGTTTTTGTGTGACTCGAGAGAGGGATTAATGGGGATTGATGCCTTTAGAAGTTGGAAGAGATATGAACTCTTACTTAAAATAAAACTATGTGGACCTGCTTATAGCATACATTTTTGTTTTAAATAGGTATAAGATGATCTTTTCGTTATTAACTAGCAAAGTTTATATAAACTGATTTTTAAAAACTAAAATCTTGCCCTCAGTAATCATTAGAGTGCCTGTTTTGGGGAAATATTCTATATTTTTGCCCCCGCCAAGTATATTTATTCCGTATGTTTTGCTGGGAGTTGTTCCCTTTTTGTGGAATGTGTGATAATATTGGAGCTATACGATAAAGTTACATACACCTTCTAGTTGTATTCTTCTTTGGATTTCACCAAATGAATTATATTATGGGATTTGATATATGCTAGACAGCACTAGCTGCCATAGTGATTGCAGGAAAATTGATTAACGAAAATTGATTAAGCCAGTAACAGGCGGTGCGCACCGGGGGTGAGTGGGGGGTCCGGCCCTGTTCCTCTTCTTCCTCAGTGGCCTGGATGATGGGGCAGAGAGCACCCTCAGCAAGTTGGCTGCTGGATGAAATTAGTACAGACGGTAACTAACTGATATCAGTCAAGGAACAAAGTGAATGGCTTCACTATTTCCACAGGGCTGTGTGCCTTATCTTAATTAACAGAAAAAAAGATGGAGGGGGAAGGGGAGATTTGGGCCAAGTGCTGCAAAAGCGATCATTTTGAGAAAAGAAAATACCTAACATTTGTTCTCTTTTACCCACAAATGAGGCAATCATAATTCACCTGTGCTGCAGAAATAGCATTGCATTACAAAGGCATATGGTAGGTCCACTGACATAATTCAAGCTCCAATTTCGCTGGAAGGCAGTGCAGTTTTACTCATTTCACCATGGTTTCAGACGTTGCTGAATGATGAGTTTGGTTTGGCTTGATTTGTCCTCATTTGCATTGGATGCTTTATGTGTTTGAAGGTAGAAGAGATGCTTACCGATGGACGGCGAATCATCACTTTCCGCAATGGTACCAAAAAAGAGATCAGTGCTGATAAAAGGATGACAGTGGTTAGTTTTTTCAATGGAGATGTAAAGAAGATCATGCCAGATCAGAGAGTGGTGTGTAGCATTTGCTTTTTCTTTAAGAAAAATTAAATGATTAAGTGATTTGTCCTACAAGGTTCTACCATTTGTGTTGCTCTGTCATTTTTGGGAGAAATTGATTAGTTGATTTAATAAATCTGAAAACAGAGGCTGCTCTCCATACAAGGATAAGAATGGAAGGAGGTTGAAGGAACAGTCTTGGAAGGAACAACTGGGTAGCTGGCTAACCAGGCCAAGGGAGACTGAAAGAAGACAAAAGGCAGGGGCAGCTACTTCAAGCAAGGACTGACACATACATTTGTATGTTAGGTACCACAGAGGGTTCTTCCCTCCAGGTACTATGTATTTATAAATAGTTAATATTAATATGAGCTAGAGTGGAAGTGAATGAGTCTTTGGTGAGAGTGCAAACATTTTAAATTGATGGTGCATGGGTGGGAGCTAGAGCAAAAAGGTGGATCACTTTCATCAGTGGACTATTCTGTTGTACTTTATCCAGAGGAAAGTAGCAAAACCTAGACACATCCATAAGGAGTGGAGTGATTAAGAGTTAGGACTAGAAATGCAAACATGGCTACTTGTATGGATGGCAGATACTGAAAATGACCTTGAAATGACTTTTCTAAGATGGCTTATTTTTAAGCACGTTGTTGTGACTGAATCTGCTCATGCAAATATTGTGAACATGCTGCAAACACTTCACTCTCCTTTCAGATTTATTATTATGCAGATGCACAGACAACCCACACTGCTTATCCAAATGGCCTGGAGGTGCTGCAGTTCCCTAATAATCAGATAGGTATGCAAGAGCTTATGAATGTGAACTGTGTGTGCAGGAAGGGTTTTTTGTTTTTTTTTTATGAAAGTGATGTCTGATTCTGACTCCTCAATTTGCATTGTATTTGTATTTGACTTCCAATATGTTTCATGCTCAGGTTCATCCTACAAAGCAAAGATAACAATGAGGTGCTAATGCATTGCTTTTATTTCCAATTATCTGATTATTTGATTTTTTTTAATTTCTCTAGTAACACATTGGATATCATTTCCATCCTCACTACCATATCCCCAAAAATCTAGTTCTGTGTAAAGCAACATGAAAGAAATTGTAAATAGACTTTTTACATGTTTTTTCCCACAGAAAAACATCATCCTGATGGCACACAAGAAATTATATTCCCAGATCAGACAGTGAAATGCCTCTATAGTGGCGGACTCGAGGAAACTTTTTTTCCAGATGGTACAGTAGTAAAAGTAGCAAAGTAAGTCTTGTGCTAAATGACAGGAACTGGGCATTGGGCACAGGTACAATGGTACTGGCATTTAAAGCTATGATTGGATTTGGTGTGCTTGAGAAATTTCAGAACAAAAGGTGAAAGGATTTGGAAGGTGACTAGGGTTTTGCTCTAATGAGGCACTGAAAACTGTTGACTTCTTGAATCATAGGTGATAATTTATTTCAGGCAAAGTGACCATGAACTGTTCCTGATTTAGTTCCATGTAACTTTGCACTTGCCTTGTACATCAGGCCAGGATTACTGTGTAACTTGCACGACACGGGAGAGACAGTTCTCTGTGTTAACAGTGCGGGCACTGAAGGACTCCGAATGAGGACTTCTGAACTTATTGCTAGTTTTTTGACTCAGTTTCTGATCCTGGGCAAGACACTTCAAATATTGCCTCTCTATTCCTCTGTGTAAAATTAAGACTAATGATATTAGAACCTACTTATGCATGTCCCTTGCGGGCTTAGGGACTATACTGTTGCAAAAATAGATTTCCTGCTTGCAAAATGCCTTGAGATCCCTGCATGAAGAATTCTGCAGGATCTGCAGATCCTGCCACCATTAGGTGGTATTTTACATACTGAAGAATCCTTGTGGTGATCTCATATTGTAATATCTGATCTGTAATGCCATCCCATGTAAATTCTGAGGTGACCTGCAACCCGAGAAATTTTCCAGCTGATGTTATTTTTCACTTTTACTGTGTCACACGAGATAGATCACTGAGAGAAGCTGGCAACAGATAGAGCCTTCCCCTGGCAGAGGTTTATATATCTTCTGACCTAGCTTTATCCTCTTTGGGAAGGGAAGATTTTGGTTGCATGTTATTGTCCTATGCTCGACCCATACATCACAAGAAAGATTAATTGTGAAGGAGCTAGGGTGCCTGTAGCTCCTCTGTCTTGTGGCTTTTTCCATGCATGTCCAGTATCTCGCCTTCATCGCTGTTAAAGGCTGACGCTTTGGAGGTAGTCCAAGGAGGGGCGGTGTTTCTGCAGGTTTCTACTATGTTTTTATAGTACCCCTCATGAAGTATATTTGATGGTTGGGCAGTGCTACTTTGCTGTGTATATTTGGATCTTCTGATTGGTTTGCTTTGCTTTCAGGAATGGAGATAAAACAGTGGTATTCAGCAATGGTCAGAAGGAGATCCACACCGTGCAGTTTAAGAGGCGGGAATACCCAGATGGCACTGTAAAGACTGTCTACTCCAATGGAAGACAGGAAACGAAGTATGCTTCTGGACGGGTTCGAATCAAAGATGAAGAGGGTAATATCATTCTAGAGAAGAAGTGATTCCTCCCCTTGAAGAGCAGCACTGTACACAACTGGCTCAACCCAGTTTCTCTGTAGGATTTAATATATCCACCCCTTGGGCATATATGATTGTTAATATGGATCTTTCTTTCTATCCATAATGCTTTTCTGTTCCTTAAAATAATTAAGGGTAGAACTTGTGAAGCAGTGAAAATCACCACTTCTGTTGGAATAAATTAAGGATAAAACTCTTAATAGACTATGTCCTGTACATTTAGATATTAAAATAATATGCCACAAAAAAAAAAATATATATATATCTAGAGAGAGAGAGATAGATAGACAGATAGCTAACTGGATGGAGATTTCTTTACTTCTGTGTTCTGGGGTTATGGAGGAAGGGGAAGGACTAGAAGGCTGAGCATAAGCTTATTTTGCCTAAATTACTTTAGAGCACAGGGTCAAAACTGATGAGGAAGACTTAAACCTTGTGAAATGAATGGATAGGTCTGCAGGGTTAAAATTTACTGTGGTTCAGTGACTGGTGCTTACTTTGGATTAAGCACCCCTTACTCTTTACCCGAATGAAATGTTTCTTGAGTGAGACTTTAAAAGAAACGCAGTTGTGCCCTCTCTGTGTAACATTAAAATGCCTGTAGTACTTCTCATCAGTATTTGTTCCATGATACTGGTCACATTTTCCCTTTTTGTTTTTGTGCTAGTTGGTTACAAAAGTGACTGCGATTAAGGAGCATGGCATAAGAATCTCAAATCTACAAAGCATTTGGGGTTCTTTGGAGAAAAGGATATCAAATCAGTGTGAGGTTTTACCATTCTTATTGTTCCACATGGTAGGTCCAATTCATCAGTTGAAAATATAACACAGTCTTTAATGTAAATGAAGTTTCTCAAGGTTAAAGAGAACCAAAGTCGTCTTGGGTCAGATCATCCTCTGGGGAGAGAATTGTTGCCTATTGAGCAGAGGTGAACTGACTGATTTTTAGAAGAGGACCTGGAGTATCTTCTAGTTTGGGCAAATATGTTTTGTTCATCATCTCTCCTTCAAATTAAATGGCTTCAGTCTAGCTTTCAGAATTCATTCGTGGGATCAAACACTAGGCTAGAGCCAAAAAGCACTTAGAAACTTTTTCCTTCATAATGCCAGGGGCACTACCCTTTTTGTTGAATGGCTCAGTGCCTCCATCACTCCCTCCAGAATCAGAAGATCTGGGTTTCATATTCCACCTACTGTTGATCCTCAGAGGAGGTAAGCAGAGGAGTGCCTGAACAGAGATATAATTTGGATACCAAGTTGCTTGAGACTTCCAAGGCCAAAGTATTTTGGAGAGTTCATAGAACTGAACTTCTGGAACATGGAATAGTCCAGTTAAATATTGGAGAAAAAAGATTTTATTGTGAGGGTGGTCAAATACTGGAACAGGCTGCCCAGAGAGGTTGTGGAATCTCCATCCTTGGAGCTGTTCAAGACTTGACTGGACACAGCCCTCAGTAATCTGATCTAATTAGACCTGCTTTGAGTGGAGAAGTTGTACTGAATGGCTTCTGGGGGTCCCTTCCAACCTAAATTATTCTGTGATTCTGTGATCATAATCTGATACCTTTGTCTTTTGCATTTGAAGTCAAAAATTAATGTTTATTCCATCCTGGTCATTATTCCAGATGAAACAGCCCTTCCCTCTTCCCCCAGCAGTCTTTCTCCAGACCTTATCTGTGTTGCTTTGCTTTTGAATTAACCTCCTCTACTACTGCCTCTATTCTTCTGGTATTGTAGAAATATTTCTGGTCAGTGAATCTCTGCAGTTTCAAGGTTCTTTGGATTGCAGTTTGTACCTAGGGGAATTAATCATTTATCAGATGCTGCTTTCAGCTGCCTTTCCCAGGGACTGTCTGTCCATCATCTGTCTTGAATTTTTCTAAAGCACTGAAGCATCTCCCCTGTAGAACTCAGCTCATTAGCTGCCCAGTGACTGAGAAGACCAATTATCTCCTCATGGCCTGCAAATTCCTTTTGCAAGAAACACACTTTCAGAGCATGCTACTTTAGCCTTTTCTCACACCTAAATGCAAAATAACTGCAAGATTAGGGAACTGCTCTTTCTTGTGTTCAGTTTCCAGTGGGTCAGACTACCAACAAATGGGCATTCAAATTACAGAGCCTCTTTGGAAGTTATAGACTTAACAGAACAAGAAGTGTTATTAATATTAAACGTACACATGCTGCAATCTATGGATTTAATTATGAAGTTCTAGACATCCATGCAATTTGATGGTGTGATAACATAATTGCATTGTTTTTCTTTTACCCCTGCATAACAAAGAAACTATTAATAAACCTGTGCCTTTCACTACCGAGGTATTTAATACGTTTTATGTGCTTTGTAAAAGGAAACTCTAATTAAAGAATTCTGAGAGATCATTCTTTTCCATGCTTTTTACTAGGAATTTCAGTTAATTGCTGACTGAAACAAATCTAATTTTTTTTCCTCAATTAATCATCACAACAAAGGTGAATGTGAAGATCTATTTTCAGTGTGATGGGGAAAAATAATGTGATACTAACATTTTCCAAAGGAACGCCATTTTTATTCTCAGGAATTCCTTTTTAACAAAAGGTCTTTGTTCTGCAGCTAATATGCTGACAATTTCTTTTTTTCTACAGTACTTTGGAAAATTTGCAACTTCTACCCTTAAACCATAGTTTACCATTCAGAAATTTATATGTATTATCTCTTCTAATTGTAAATTGAATAAGGGAGTAATCTTGTTTGTATGCTGCTTGCTCCTTGGTATCATTAAGCACTCTCAGAGCTCACTGTAGTTGCAGGAAGCATTCATGTTCTGCATTAATGAGACCTACAGTCCCGCATAGGTGTAACGCTTAGGGGATATGCATAAGCACCTCAGTCTCTGAAACTGTGTGCACGCAGATATGCATGTGTGCAAACACCTGGCTCACACGTGCATACCTTGCTTACTCCTGCTTCCATGGCTTTTATGATAGTACGTAAGTATGGGCCTGATACTACTTTCTGGAAAATCAGTGGCAAAACTTTCATGGGTGGAATCAAAGGTGCAGGATCAAGACCTGTGGAAATATGCAGATTCCCCAGATACGCAGTACATGGGTGCTGCGTTTTAGAAAGGCAAGTGCAGATAGAATTCTAGAAACCTGTCTGAAACTTTGATCTGTAACCTGTTTGCAAACTATATAGTACAAGAATAGAGTATGTACTATACAGTACAGTATATTCTTTTGGAATATATCTAAATAACAAATATATTGAACATCTAGGCTTCTTTCATAAAACTGTGCCTGTGATGCAGCTAAATATGTGTAGTACATACAAAGAATAAATCAAACTAATCATGTGATTAGTTTCTAATCATGTGCAGAGGAACGCCCCCAGGTATATTTATTTGTCAGTGGAACGCCTCCTTTCTTGCACTTAGTGAGGTCTAATAAACAAACTTTTAATGTCTTTTATCAAAAAGCCTGTAGAATAGTTCACCTATCCCTGTAAAATATCCAACACAATACCATTTTCCATCTACCTTTGGCCAACTTCCAAATAGTATGTTTCACCCTAAGTATGAAGCAAATTACACTGCTGAGGGCTGGCCACAAAAGCTACTTTCAAGCCAAACTGTAGCCTTTATATGAAGGAAATCATATCTTGCCGCAACCTGAGCAGCAAACTGCTAATTAGTATTTGAAAAGTATTTGTAAAGTTCAGAGAGCAGATTTTTTTTTCCTTTCTACACATGCTCCTGCTGTCAGTTACCTGTGTGGTGTAAAGGGCATCAGGAACTATAAAGCCCTTTTCTATATATTTCATTGGTTACACCCTCGCTCTGAGAAATGTTTGAATGAGCTGGGATCAGGACACACTGCTTACAGTGTGCTTGCGTGGTCTGCTTACGCTGGCTTTCTCTGCTTGTGTTGTCTGGGTTGTTTGCATTTGCTAACATTGACAAAAGCATAGGAACTGTTTTGTGATTGCTGTCCTTCTCAATGTGCATAGAGTGATATTACATTATATAGCACATGTTCTCTGTGGAATGTGAAAAGAGAGGCCACTTCTCACACAATTATGTCTGGAAGATGTGCTGTAACACTTTGTAGAGCAAAGACAGTACTTTGAATTTCACGAAAAGTAAAAATGAGATACACGGAGCAATCAAAAATGAATGGAAGATATTTCTAATTTAAATTCTTACCTAACAGGTAAAAAATTCTCTTCTATTAAATCACTTAAGAGACGTTCTCATGCCAGTGCAGTGTACGTTGCAGGCATCTCAGTCACACAGATTTCTGCAGATAGGTCTTTATCTGAAAGGAAATATCACAAACATTTTCCCAGTAAGGCTGGAATTCAGGATGTTATTGGTGAAATATTTGATTTTATTAAAACCAAACCTGTTTTGGTAGGATTCTACTCATTTTTTTTGATGAAATGTCACTGAGTATTATTAGTTTCCAGGGGAATTTTTGCTGAAGGAGCAAGAACAACTTACCTCTGAATGGTTATTCAGAGGATAAGAAACCCCCTAAAGAAGTGGAAATCGACTGGTTAAATCACTGCCTAATTTAAAACAGGAATTTAAATCTCTGCCTTTTCACAGTCCACAGAAGGTCTCTGGCCACTAGGATATCTCCTTTATTACCTTTTTTCTTCTTTCAAAAAAAATTAAAAGTTCACAGCTTTCATCCCAACACAGAGCGGAAACATTCCTGAAATTTCTGAAAGTTTTGCAGACTAAGGGAACTATAGCTTTCCTGATGCTGCTTCTCACATGCATGTTAAGAAAAAAAGCTTTTTGTCCACTAGCTTAACCAACAACAGATTGAAAACCTCTTACAGGAAGGATGGCAGGAAGAAAAGTACTCTAAGGTCTTACTAATTTTGGCAGTACACAGTACTGAGGGTATTATTCAGCCAACAGGTTTTTTTTTAAGTTTTGTTTGTTGCTGTTTTTTCGAGAAAAGCCTTGGAATACTGACCTTGGTGAATGAGGACCCTACGAAACGAAATACGGAATTTTCCACTGTCTGTATGCTGTCTATATGTACAATGGCAAGCCAGATTTACACATAATCTTTTAAAGCTGTAATGTAACAAAGCTACAATAAAGCATAGAACCTACTATGCTTTGAGGGCGAGCCTACTAAGGATATAACAGTACTTTTGCCATCCAGCATCTGGCCATCAGTCCTACCAAGGCATTTTTTTTCAAGTACTGTTTTATAGTATAACAGCAATGGGTTTGTTGAAACAAGTGGCAGGAATTACTTTGGTTTGATAAAGACAAGACAGATACCTACATACCCAACATTGCTCTTGTTGTTTATGTTACAATTAGGAGTCCTTCCGATACTAATTATGACATGTATTACTGATCATTTTTCACAAGCTGATTCTCACATCTTATCTCCTCTACTTCTCTTGCTGCAAAGGCAATGGTAAAGTACAGCATGCATCAAGTATCGTAAGCAGCAATGGCTCTACCAGCTATAGCTGATTAGTTGTAGGCACACAAATAATCCAAACAGGTGTGGCTGCATATTTACTTCAACTGCAGTAGTATACATACCTACTTTGGAAAAGACAGCTCTCTTATGATTTTTGTCCTAGAGGGCCTATAGTGAACACATTTTTATGAATCCTTCAGGGAGGTGGAACACAGTGGGGAAACCTGAATTCTCTTCTTTCCATAGGTTTTCCAACATTAGGTGAAGCACACTACAGCCAGTATTTAACCTCTATTTTCAGTCAAATTTACTATGACTTCCAAAATTCACAGCGACTTCCAGAGTTACTTCCATTCAGTCAGCTGGGGGCACCAGAGATGTTCAAGGGAAGGATAGTATTTTTCGAATACTTCAGTTTAGTGGTTTTTTCCATGCTCAGTTTATCACTAAGGAAGTTTTACTGCAAGCAAAACAAAGCTACCTAACTGTTGCACCCATCAAATGGCTAATGCAGAGTCTGTGAGAGAGAGGCTTGATCTGGTGTTCTCAGTGTGATCTTGCAGTTTATATTCCCCCTCCAATATCAAATTTCTCTGTTAGCTTGGAAAATCTAATTACTGTGTTCTTCTTACTCAAGCAATCTACAAGGCCTTTTTGATTAAGAGTTTATTTGAGAAACAGACTGGAGCAGTATATAGTTTTTTTTTTTTTAATTGCGTTTCATAAGAATTTCTATAGAATACTACTGGTAATAAAATGAAAGCTATTTTATGTGACGGTATTTTTTCATACAGTGTAAAATTAATCTGTGAAAAGTAATATCAGGAAGCTCACAGGATTCTTCAATAACGTGATAGTTTTATAACTATTCATATAACTTGCACCTTTGTAAACTGAGCACATATTGAATGCTCCTAGGTGCAAACTGACCAGCTTCTTCAAGTCATAAAGCCCCCTTAGCCAGGAAAAGAAAAGAAACAAGGATCTCTGAGATCAAGCTTTGCTTATTATTTTTCTATTAATTATCAAAAATTGATGTTTTTGAGAATCTTTTGAGAAATGCAATTCTCCATTTTTATTTTGGGACTTTAAAAATTAGAAGAATTACTTTAAAGAATTATTCAGTGCTTTCTATTTAAAAAATAATCTCTCATGGTAATTGCTAAATTACAAGATCAATTTCTAAATTGTGTATGGCTTAAGATGTCTCTGTTTCTGATGCAATTTCAGTGTACCTCTACCACCTTCCAGCTAAAGATAGCATTTATTATATGTCTAACAGATAATCCCATGAAGTTACACAGAAGTTAAAGAGTCTACCCTTTTCTTTGTCTTCTGCTTTTTTGATGGCAACTGTTTGTTCACTAACTTGTTTATTTCCTGTATGATGCTCTTTACATCTGTCCCATCCCTGGAAGCTTGAAGTGCAGCTTCATTAAAAGGAAAAATAAGGACAAAATCTCCTACTCGGGGGATAGGCCTCTGGTCTTTATCAGAGAGAAAATAGGGGTGTGTGGTTAATTTACAGTTCCAGAAATCAGGTGTAGGTAACCAGCGGCTGGGTTGAGCAAACTGGTGTGGATAATGCACAGCTTCTGGGAGTTGCTTGCTTTTTGCTTCAGCTTTTGCTTGGGAGGATGTTTTTGGCATGTTCATCCTTTCCCGTAGCTGCGAAGTCAGTGTTTTCCTTGGGTGTCCTCTGGCAATTTTCTTAGTCTGGGTGACCACCTTATGAATTGATCCTTTTGCAACCTGCAAGGCAGATTGTACTGAAGAAGGAGCAGTGCATTCGGCCTCTCCTTGGCAAGTGTGTGAGTCAGGAGCCTCCTCCAGTGCACTTTCGCCAGGTGTGCTCAAGGGCACACGTGCTCTACCAGCTTTCGTCCCAGCCATTTGGTTTTGCCTGAGAGCATCAATTTGCTTGTAGTTCAGCAGTTCAACAATATCATGAAGAAGTTTTCTTTTCACAGTGGCATCAATGGAGCAGTCTAAACACAAGGCTGGATTGTAGTTGACTTCTAAAAGCCATGGCTTGAATTTGTCATCAATCAGGATGTCAAAGCCAAAGAGCTCAAAGCAATTGGAAGCTGCTGGTAAGGGGGTTACAGCAAGCAGGGTCAGCATCACAATGTTGTTGATCTTCTTCCAGAGGAGCAGGTCATCCACCCCATAAATTCGAAGGTAGGAACGAAATTTGCTGAATGTCCATTTGCAGCCACACCCAATACCTTCTTTATATTTTTTATATGAAGCTCCATATTTGTTGATGCTAGTATTTGTTAGGTGGGAAAAAACATTGTCCAATGAACTGAGGTCGAACTTTTCAGTGGCAAACCTCACCAGTCCTTCTTCGTAAGTGTAAATAGTGAGGGGGCAAAAACTTGTGACACACACATACAAGCGGAGATCCAGTTTATACCCTGAAATGAGCAAGGGGTTGCTAATATACTTCTGCACAATGACTGTACAGTCATATTCAAAGTCTTTAATGTCTTGAAAAATGAGTATTCCCCTTCCACGGGAGAGATCCACAGGCTTGCAAATCCAGTAGCTAGGTCTTCTACCCAGTGACTGTTTCTCCTTAAAATATTCTGCTATAAATTTGACATAGTCATTGGGCATGATGAATGCCACTGGACTAAATTCATATAGAGCTGATCCATATGCTCCTTTCATACGTTTCAGATGCCTTGCCAGATAGTCTTTTCTGGTGATCCTGACAGCTTCTGGGTAGTGATTGAGTCTCTGCCATGGTTTAATGCTGCAGTAGTCTGTCATACGGAAAGGGGAGTTCCGCCAGTACAGGTTCCAATCTGTATCATCTTGCTCTTTTTTGTCAAATTCAGTCCAGCCACGTTCCAGTAAAACCTCACGGACTATTGCAGGGACATTCTCATGGAGACGGAAAACCAAAGGCTTCAAGATCTCTCTTGCATCGTGGTGATCTGCCATCATCTAGATCTTATGAGCTGAAAAACAAAGTTATGAGGAAGAAAAAAATTAATGCCACATTGTGCTAGCAGTTATCAGCTTCATTGTATTCTTAATGCCTGCCACTCTCAGTGTATTAAAACATCTCACCTCTGTGCTTCTCAAGTCTGTGAGTGAGAAATCAAGTCAAAGGCTGCTTACTAAAGATATTTAAAAGGGTATTTATTTCACATAGCTGTAAAGCAACACAAAGCATTGACTGCTGCAGACTTATGTCTCCACACTTGCTTTATTTACTTTTTCTTTAAGGTAGCCTATTGCAGCAGTACTTGCCCCAAGGCTTTTGTAATTCATGGATACTTACTTTTTGACTTTTTTTCCCGTACTGCCTTCAGTCCATTGGCCGTAACTTTCCCTAATAAGACTTGTTTTGCACTGCTGCAGTGATGAGACATTTTATTCATGTATCATGTTGCCTGGTCCTGAGCAAACTCTTTTGGCTGAGATTGTAAGGCCTGATTCAAAACTGATGGCAGACAGTAGGAAAATTCTCATTGAATTCTAAATGCCGTTTTCTTCCTCTGAGAGCTGCTAATTAAACTAATTTATACTCTTCTGTTATTCTTCTGGTGAAGTCTTCCCCGGTTCCTGAAGAGCTGGGCACATTCTTCTCTCATGATTTCCCTCTCATGAAAATAATGTTCCAAAGAAATGTATGTGGACTCTGAATGAAAATACCATTTAACAGGATGTACAGTGGAAGCTGGTAATGGTTCCTGTCTATTCTTATGAGTGAGAAATGCACTTTGAGTTCTTTTGGGCATAGCAGTTTTCACATAAACAGTTCATGAAGTGTGCTCTTCCCTCCCCAGCTAGTTCAAAATACACAGGGCTAAAACTAAAAACCCTGTGCATCATACTGACTGATGGCACAGGGAACAAAATATTCAATGGTCCTGTAAACTAGAAAGCGTTGCTGTCTCTGTTTTTTTCTTTTCTGAAACCCTACAAAACTGTTCCCTAAGGATTAGACTCTGCATCTGGAGAGGAGAGCGTGTTTTGGATGAAAGAAGAGTGTGCTCTGCATCAGCCTGAGACAGCATTAACATACCTACCTCCTCCAAGGACGGAAGCTCCCCTCCAGGGTCAAGCTTTAAATTTTACTCATAGAAAACAGCAAGCAATGGAAATACAAAATGGGTGGAACATATCATAGATAAGACCGGGCAACTCCTGCTTGCATATAATCAGACTGATATCTCTGTTCTTTCTTTTCAAGTTAAGAATCATCACTCTGGAGTTTTAAACTCCGGAATGTGTAGCCCCTGCCTTCCAAACTACTATGGAAACCGAGGGCAGACATCGCACTTGGAAGCACTCAATGCAGCTGAGCTGGCCAGAGGTGTTTTTTTGGTAAAAAAAATTACAATTTGTTGAATTGGAAAGCTTTTTTCCTCAGGAAAAAAGTAATCTTTGCCAGCTTTTTTTCTGATTTGAATTTTAATTGTTTTGAAATTGTCAGAATATCTCATCATTTTTTTAAAAAGCCAGATTTGAGACCTTTGGTCCAGGAAGATTTTTATGTTTAAAAATTGCACTAATATAGTTTTAAAACTAAAAGCTCAAATATGAAATAAAATGTTTTACCATTATCAAAACGTTAGTTAACAGAATGCAAAAATTTTCTCATTGACAAAACAGTGTAAGATTCTCATTATTTCATTTGGATATGAAAAATAATGCAAAAAATCTTGCAGGATGAAAATATGTTTCACTCCTCACTCTGACATTTGGTGACCCTCTTGTATGATGTAACCATGCCTTAGCTGTCTGATGCGTTCTGCTGCTCTTAACTGATTCTCAGAGGTAACCACAAGGCAGTCACAGAGCTCTTCTGCAAGCGGTGATGTGAACGGAGATGGGAAGGGGATCCTCATCAATACAACACTGTGACCAAAACCAGAAGAGTCTCAAAAGAAGCTTGACAGGAGGGGAGTTGTAGAAGAGGGTCCAGGTTATATTTCAGGGAGGCAGGGAAGCAGGGCACTGGTATCAGAAGTATGTAGTTGCTTTACCACTGTTGCCACCACTGTAATGTGCAGGGAAAAAAGGCCCTAGACCATCTTATATCCTGTAGTGAGGGAATCAGTGCCTAAAAAAGGAAGGGATTTGGAGCAAGCTTTGGCCCAGGCTGTGTGAGGAATGATGGGAGTCCTCTTGGGAAGGGACCTTAGGCCTTGTTCAGGAGTATAGACTGTGGCCAAAATTTGTATTTATGTATATGATGATTCTCTTTTGGTGTTCTGAAGGCATTTTAGTAATGTGTAGTAATATATTTTATTGATGTTTTACAATCAGACTTGCAATATCTTTTCATCTTCAGGATCAAGCTAGTGTTGGAATTGAGCAAGATATTGATTGAGCAACTTGTACTGTGATTATTTCTTTGAAACCTCTTAGTGACCACAGAATCTCTCCAGGCCGCTCCTGCACGGATTGCACTTGCATTCATCTGGGTGAAACCTCTCCTTGGGTGAGGGATTTGTAGGGAATGGGAGAGACATGATAAGTAAGAACTGCAGTGCAGTCATGATGTAACAGGATTTTCCTCAATACCGTGAAGGGGAAAGTAGTCTTGCTGTGTATCTTGCAGTCAGTGCTTCTTTTCAGATCCCAGGAAATTGGTGGCTTGCTTCTGAGCTTGCACACACTCACGTGGTGGTCCCCGGAAATGTTTATTGTCTTTGTTTCCACTTTCTTTCCAAGGACTTCTCTTTCATGCCTGCTTGTTAAACAGCACTTTGTAAAAACATGATACAATTAAAAACTAAAATGTACAACAACTAAACAATTTTTTTAGTATCCATTTCAAATCCTTAGACAAAGATTATTAAATTTAAAAAAAAAGATTTAATTGGAGTAGCCATAATAAGCATCTGGATGAATCAGCTTACAGACTACAGTTGGATTTGTTTTTTCTGCGCGACTCAACATCGCTACTAGCAGGGTTTCAGTGAAAGGCACTGTTGCATGTGAATTCAGGGAGATGGTAAACCATGCCACCATGGTCTCCACTAGGTAATCGTAAATTAAACCATTAGTAATGTCTGAACAATGAAGCCTTCTTTGGTGTTTTGTCCATGTCAGCTTGTATCAGTGGAATATCTTTCATACCTCTGCTGTTCAGGGAGCAGTTTACAGGAAACTGGATGAACAAGGCTGGATATAACAGATGTCAGCTTCAAATTCCCTGGTAATTATGAGATACAAAGAAAACAAAACATTTTCACTAACAAAGAACACTTGCTTGCTTTTAAAGAAGTCATATCACTTATAAGCAATTTCTAACTGAAGTGTGATTAGCCAAAGAACTTTAGGAATAGGCATCGGTCTAAATGAGTGAACAGAAATTTCATTCACTTTACTCTGTATAAATGTGTGCTTAGATGAACACTCATCTCTTCATTCAGTGACATTTTGCCTGCATTCCCACAGGGTTTTCTTTTTAGCCCATTCTTCAGTAATTTTGAGATCCATCTGTGTATTTGCAGACATTCTTTCACAATGCAAACTCTAACAACTGCATTAAAATTTGACATCTACCTACAGTTGCTGCAGACTGACATGCAGAAAACATATTCCCTTTAGAAATAAAAGAATGCTGTTGTGCGTCTCTCGCAACTCCACATACTCCTGCAGTAATACTGACACTGCGACGCCAGCCAGAACTCCTGCCTTCATGCATTCAAGGAATGCATGTAAACTCAGAGGTTGCTTTTTCACGGCTACTTGGGATAGGTGCATGCATATCTGTTGCTCGTTTCGACACCTCTGTGAGGTAGTTACATTCTTTGGAAATATGTTCCTTGACAGTTAAGCATTAAAACAGTTTGTTTGCTGCGTTAATGTGGAATGTCGCTATAAAATTAAACTCAACAGACTGATGGGTAGTCTGTCGCATTAAGTCTTTAAGCCCTTGTGACCACAGGTCGTGTGTGCCGTGGATCTGGAGGCTGCCCACCTGGTGATTTAAGTTCAGCAATCACCATTATAATTATTTCTTTAGCTCATGACTTCTGCCTAGTAAGCAGCCGTATATTTGAAGGCTGCAAAGGATCGCTGGCTCATCTCGTTTCAAGCCCTGTATATCCCCGGCTATACAACGTCATCCAGTTATCCTTACGGACGACTAGTGTTTGATTAAAGTCAGGGCATAAAGGCTAACTCATTGATAACAGCGTTTTCTTTAAATGTAGGAGCTTTGATGGCACAAAGTCTGCGAGCAGCAGGATTATTATTAGTAGTATGAGTAGCATATTAGTAGTGTTATTAGTATTAAAGAAACTTTGCTAAAGGAGCAGGGGCGAGACCGAACAGGTACATACCGTGTTTGCATTAGCAGCTCTTGTCATTTAAAACGTGACCATTGACTATATTAGAGTCCCCAAAGCCCAGATGGGCTCGCTCCCACGGGGCGAGGCAGCGGCCCGGCCTCGCCTCACCTTCTGCCCCCGTCGCGGCTGGCTGGAAACTCGCGATTTCTGCCCAAACTGGGGCGAGCGAAAGGCTCGGGCAGGTCTCAGCCAGCCCCCCCCAACCTGATGAGGTGCACGTACCTCCCGCTGCTCCCCGGGGCACTGCTGCCGGCCCGGCGT